TGGTATGGGATTGCACAATGCTCCGCAACGTTCGCTGATGAATTCCAGCGATTTGAGCGGAAAATGACAATGTTTCGTCCGTGTTCTGAATGCATCAGCCGCCATAGCTCAGTCGGTTAGAGCGTGGGTCTAATAAGCCCAAGGTCGCAGGTTCGACCCCTGCTGGCGGCAAACATTTTGCCATCGAATGTCGCTCGACTTGGCACATGGTATGGGATTGCACAATGCTCCGCAACGTTCGCTGATGAATTCCAGCGATTTGAGCGGAAAATGACAATGTTTCGTCCGTGTTCTGAATGCATCAGCCGCCATAGCTCAGTCGGTTAGAGCGTGGGTCTAATAAGCCCAAGGTCGCAGGTTCGACCCCTGCTGGCGGCAAACATTTTGCCATCGAATGTCGCTCGACTTGGCACATGGTATGGGATTGCACAATGCTCCGCAACGTTCGCTGATGAATTCCAGCGATTTGAGCGGAAAATGACAATGTTTCGTCCGTGTTCTGAATGCATCAGCCGCCATAGCTCAGTCGGTTAGAGCGTGGGTCTAATAAGCCCAAGGTCGCAGGTTCGACCCCTGCTGGCGGCAAACATTTTGCCATCGAATGTCGCTCGACTTGGCACATGGTATGGGATTGCACAATGCTCCGCAACGTTCGCTGATGAATTCCAGCGATTTGAGCGGAAAATGACAATGTTTCGTCCGTGTTCTGAATGCATCAGCCGCCATAGCTCAGTCGGTTAGAGCGTGGGTCTAATAAGCCCAAGGTCGCAGGTTCGACCCCTGCTGGCGGCAAACATTTTGCCATAGAATTTCGCTCGACTTGGCACATGGTATGGGATTGCACAATGCTCCGCAACGTTCGCTGATGAATTCCAGCGATTTGAGCGGAAAATGACAATGTTTCGTCCGTGTTCTGAATGCATCAGCCGCCATAGCTCAGTCGGTTAGAGCGTGGGTCTAATAAGCCCAAGGTCGCAGGTTCGACCCCTGCTGGCGGCAAACATTTTGCCATCGAATGTCGCTCGACTTGGCACATGGTATGGGATTGCACAATGCTCCGCAACGTTCGCTGATGAATTCCAGCGATTTGAGCGGAAAATGAAAATGTTTCGTCCGTGTTCTGAATGCATCAGCCGCCATAGCTCAGTCGGTTAGAGCGTGGGTCTAATAAGCCCAAGGTCGCAGGTTCGACCCCTGCTGGCGGCAAACATTTTGCCATAGAATTTCGCTCGACTTGGCACATGGTATGGGATTGCACAATGCTCCGCAACGTTCGCTGATGAATTCCAGCGATTTGAGCGGAAAATGACAATGTTTCGTCCGTGTTCTGAATGCATCAGCCGCCATAGCTCAGTCGGTTAGAGCGTGGGTCTAATAAGCCCAAGGTCGCAGGTTCGACCCCTGCTGGCGGCAAACATTTTGCCATCGAATGTCGCTCGACTTGGCACATGTTATGGGATTGCACAATGCTCCGCAACGTTCGCTGATGAATTCCAGCGATTTGAGCGGAAAATGACAATGTTTCGTCCGTGTTCTGAATGCATCAGCCGCCATAGCTCAGTCGGTTAGAGCGTGGGTCTAATAAGCCCAAGGTCGCAGGTTCGACCCCTGCTGGCGGCAAACATTTTGCCATCGAATGTCGCTCGACTTGGCACATGTTATGGGATTGCACAATGCTCCGCAACGTTCGCTGATGAATTCCAGCGATTTGAGCGGAAAATGACAATGTTTCGTCCGTGTTCTGAATGCATCAGCCGCCATAGCTCAGTCGGTTAGAGCGTGGGTCTAATAAGCCCAAGGTCGCAGGTTCGACCCCTGCTGGCGGCAAACATTTTGCCATCGAATGTCGCTCGACTTGGCACATGGTATGGGATTGCACAATGCTCCGCAACGTTCGCTGATGAATTCCAGCGATTTGAGCGGAAAATGACAATGTTTCGTCCGTGTTCTGAATGCATCAGCCGCCATAGCTCAGTCGGTTAGAGCGTGGGTCTAATAAGCCCAAGGTCGCAGGTTCGACCCCTGCTGGCGGCAAACATTTTGCCATCGAATGTCGCTCGACTTGGCACATGGTATGGGATTGCACAATGCTCCGCAACGTTCGCTGATGAATTCCAGCGATTTGAGCGGAAAATGAAAATGTTTCGTCCGTGTTCTGAATGCATCAGCCGCCATAGCTCAGTCGGTTAGAGCGTGGGTCTAATAAGCCCAAGGTCGCAGGTTCGACCCCTGCTGGCGGCAAACATTTTGCCATCGAATGTCGCTCGACTTGGCACATGGTATGGGATTGCACAATGCTCCGCAACGTTCGCTGATGAATTCCAGCGATTTGAGCGGAAAATGACAATGTTTCGTCCGTGTTCTGAATGCATCAGCCGCCATAGCTCAGTCGGTTAGAGCGTGGGTCTAATAAGCCCAAGGTCGCAGGTTCGACCCCTGCTGGCGGCAAACATTTTGCCATCGAATGTCGCTCGACTTGGCACATGGTATGGGATTGCACAATGCTCCGCAACGTTCGCTGATGAATTCCAGCGATTTGAGCGGAAAATGACAATGTTTCGTCCGTGTTCTGAATGCATCAGCCGCCATAGCTCAGTCGGTTAGAGCGTGGGTCTAATAAGCCCAAGGTCGCAGGTTCGACCCCTGCTGGCGGCAAACATTTTGCCATCGAATGTCGCTCGACTTGGCACATGGTATGGGATTGCACAATGCTCCGCAACGTTCGCTGATGAATTCCAGCGATTTGAGCGGAAAATGAAAATGTTTCGTCCGTGTTCTGAATGCATCAGCCGCCATAGCTCAGTCGGTTAGAGCGTGGGTCTAATAAGCCCAAGGTCGCAAGTTCGACCCCTGCTGGCGGCAAACATTTTGCCATCGAATGTCGCTCGACTTGGCACATGGTATGGGATTGCACAATGCTCCGCAACGTTCGCTGATGAATTCCAGCGATTTGAGCGGAAAATGACAATGTTTCGTCCGTGTTCTGAATGCATCAGCCGCCATAGCTCAGTCGTTTAGAGCGTGGGTCTAATAAGCCCAAGGTCGCAGGTTCGACCCCTGCTGGCGGCAAACATTTTGCCATCGAATGTCGCTCGACTTGGCACATGGTATGGGATTGCACAATGCTCCGCAACGTTCGCTGATGAATTCCAGCGATTTGAGCGGAAAATGACAATGTTTCGTCCGTGTTCTGAATGCATCAGCCGCCATAGCTCAGTCGGTTAGAGCGTGGGTCTAATAAGCCCAAGGTCGCAGGTTCGACCCCTGCTGGCGGCAAACATTTTGCCATCGAATGTCGCTCGACTTGGCACATGGTATGGGATTGCACAATGCTCCGCAACGTTCGCTGATGAATTCCAGCGATTTGAGCGGAAAATGACAATGTTTCGTCCGTGCTCTGAATGCATCAGCCGCCATAGCTCAGTCGGTTAGAGCGTGGGTCTAATAAGCCCAAGGTCGCAGGTTCGACCCCTGCTGGCGGCAAACATTTTGCCATCGAATGTCGCTCAACTTGGCACATGGTATGGGATTGCACAATGCTCCGCAACGTTCGCTGATGAATTCCAGCGATTTGAGCGGAAAATGAAAATGTTTCGTCCGTGTTCTGAATGCATCAGCCGCCATAGCTCAGTCGGTTAGAGCGTGGGTCTAATAAGCCCAAGGTCGCAGGTTCGACCCCTGCTGGCGGCAAACATTTTGCCATCGAATGTCGCTCGACTTGGCACATGGTATGGGATTGCACAATGCTCCGCAACGTTCGCTGATGAATTCCAGCGATTTGAGCGGAAAATGACAATGTTTCGTCCGTGCTCTGAATGCATCAGCCGCCATAGCTCAGTCGGTTAGAGCGTGGGTCTAATAAGCCCAAGGTCGCAAGTTCGACCCCTGCTGGCGGCAAACATTTTGCCATCGAATGTCGCTCGACTTGGCACATGGTATGGGATTGCACAATGCTCCGCAACGTTCGCTGATGAATTCCAGCGATTTGAGCGGAAAATGAAAATGTTTCGTCCGTGCTCTGAATGCATCAGCCGCCATAGCTCAGTCGGTTAGAGCGTGGGTCTAATAAGCCCAAGGTCGCAGGTTCGACCCCTGCTGGCGGCAAGCATTTTGCCATCGAATGTCGCTCGACTTGGCACATGGTATGGGATTGCACAATGCTCCGCAACGTTCGCTGATGAATTCCAGCGATTTGAGCGAAAAATGAAAATGTTTCGTCCGTGTTCTGAATGCATCAGCCGCCATAGATCAGTCGGCGGGAGGTAATGACCGTTGGTATTCTGACTTTGTCATGATTAAGCGAAGTTTCCGAGATCTTTAAACCGTAGTAATGTGTTAGTATGCCAGCGTAGGTTTAAGATACGGTATAGTGCGCGCCTTAGGCTCCCGCCAGAGTGCCGAAGTTATGCCAGCGCTACGCCAGCATTTCGATCGATACACGTGTATTTCGTTGAGGCGGGGCTAGCTGACGTCCCCAACGAAATACACGTGTATCGATCGAAATGCTGGCGTAGCGCTGGCATAACTTCGGCACTCTGGCGCGAGCCTTACGCATACTACCCTCATGTTTTGATATCACAGCGGAGAACGGGGAGATAAGACGTTGTGCTCTCATGCACCAAGGTTTACGACTTTTAGTGAATATCTGAAGAGAGTACCAAATGATAACTAGGATCATTTTCAAGATATTTCGGCCTGCGAAGTTCATCGCTTGAATTGATTTTGCTTCTTATTGGTTTCCGTGTCTATTCGTCTCCTTGATATAACTTCTAAGAAATATGGCATTAGCAATAAGAAATATGGCATTAGCAATTTGCGCCTTGTAACAGATATTTTTAGTAAGAGCATGAACACTCGCGCCTTACGACGTCTGCCGAGACTTAAGTCGAGTGCAAGTTCTTCAGTTACAACCGCCTAGGCATTTGGTTGGAGATGGATGTAAGAAACGATTTAGGGACTGTAGAGGTCAATGCTTCTGTAGTTGACGTTTAGTTTCTCACCCTTGAGTATAGTTGGTATTTCAAATTTCTTGTTGCCTGACACATCCCTCGCTTGATAAGAAAGCAGAATGGCCGCAGCTGTCCAAAGTGAATTTGTACGCGACATCTTGTACGACTAAAATTACAGCATTTGACTATTTCAATGCCTAGTCTTCACTGCAACATTTAAATTATAGGGCATTTGAAAAATCGTGACGATGGCGCGACCGCGCGCGATACGCACGCATCTCCATTTCTTGGTTTCTATCTCTACTAGGGTGGTTTTTCTGCTTACATATGTTAGTACTTAGACACTGGAAGTCACAGTGCTGAACGTTAAGTTGATGCCTGTTTATATGGGTGTTTTATGCTCGTGTGTGCGCAAAGTCCGCGGTCAACTCATCGTCACGATTTTAAGAATGAACCATACGTGTATAAATAGGTCTTTTGAGTCCTGCGCAGTAGAATGATAAAGGATTCAGAAAAGTAGGCTTCCCAGTTGACGCGACAGATTATGTCTTCTTATTCTGACTCCTCATTTTATTCAGCCCGTATGTGCAAGTTTAGAATTACTTCGCAAGGGAATCTCTGTCTTTTCTTGAACAATACGTATTGTCCCTTCCACATTGCTGCGACTGTTAGGCGTCTTGACCTGCGGTGTGGCCAAAATGTTGGCAACGTGCAGCAACATTTTGGCAGGACATTTTGGCTATCAGTCACAGCGGCAACATGTTGCTGCATGATTCCAAAATATTGGCCCATGCCGCCAGTTAAAGACGCAGACCAGGAGAAGCAGCAAATGTGGAAGGCACTATACTTTATTATGCACGAAACCACAAAGTTCCTTATAATATATGCCCTAATGATACTATGATCGCTCTCAGATTCGTGTGAATGCGGGTTGCGGACTTTCCCTTCTGTAAGGATAAACTTGTTGAACCTAACAGCATTGCTTCTTCTACTCTCTCCTATCAAAAGCCGCCACGTTTGACAGTTATAACGCGTCAAGTATGCGTTTGTCAGAGTTCTAACTAGTGTTTTTGTAGGCATTCGAACGCACATGATAGCTTCATTTTGGAAAATAAAGTCAAAGTGACTGTTTGGATTGCGATCTGTAAAGGTCCGGGCATACTTTAGGCCTCGGACAGACTTCACGCGATTTGATCGTCGCGACTCAATCGCCGACATTTCCATTCATTTTCATTTCACATTCAAAAATTTTGGGCTGGAAAAGTATCACAACCGAAATGCAAGTTGATCGGCATGGAATGATGTTGTAACAGTTGTCTCGTCGTGATTCAGTCGAGACGATCAAATCGCGTGAAGTCTGTCCGGGGCCTTACGCGATTTCAGTCGCGACGCGATTTGGCAATTCGCCAGAAGTCTTCAGATCCCATACTAGCAAACTGACATGCATAGTGTGTATAGCTTACGTGGATTGATAAAATGCCTTTTCTTCTGTACATTTGAAATGTGCTTACAGTGAGTTATGGACAGTTAGAATATTGTCAGATCGCGTCTCGACTAAAATCGCGTGAAGGCCTGGCCCTTAACTCATAAAAATTGGTATTACGAGTCTTGGCGCAACTAGAAAGTAGCGCAGAAGTATATTCTGAGGATAGAAAGCACGGTAAAATTGTCGAAAATGGAAACTATAAAGGGAGGAGAAGGGTAGGAATTAGCGGTGTTTGGCCTAGGGCATAGTGTCCACGATACCGTCGCGCTGCGATTTGTGAATTACGACAGCTTTTACGCACTCATTGCATGTCTTTGTGTCTGCTACGTCGCTTGTGATACTCGTCCGGCGCGACGGATCGCGGACCCTTTTTAGCTAGGGCATAGTTCTGCAGCGATAATCGCCGCGATTTCGGCAAAACCCAGCGATGTCGTGTCGCGCGTGCTGCACGGGCGACTGGGCGATATCGCTGAGGTGCGGGGGACATCTTGAGGATTTTTTATAGACAGGCGCTGATGTCTGTTGTTTTTGTTTGAAAAAGAAATGGAACTTGTTTGAACTGTATGTACAACGATACTTCTAACTTCGACGCCTTTTCCTAACCTTAAATTGTCGGATGACTTTTCGAAAGTGTAAGCATTCTTGACGAGATGGTTTTTTGGATCGTTTTTGACTTTGTGTTGGAGTCTTTGCTTCTCGCAGAGTTAATACATTATCACTCTGCTTGTTTGCATATTCTTACGTTTCGCTATCCGTATAAGAACAGAATTCTCTTCCTTACTAATACCAAACTTTATGCTCGTTTTTTCGCTATCTTCGCAGGGACGCTGTGCTCGACTTTTCGTAAAGGTGTCTAATGTGGGTCTTCGCTAAAGCACCACAAAATCCACGTACTAGCTTGTTTCATCTAAAAATCTGGTGAAGAGTGTCTTAATAGTAGCTCTTGGCTGGCAAGAGCCGACATTCTCAGGTTAGATCCACTATGCTAAGAACTGGTAAGCTCGTGAAAATTGGATTTGTTGAAAGGCAAAATGTGAGAGTTCTTTGTACTCGATTTCATCACGATCGACATAAGGGATCTATGCTGAGAGTGAAGTGAGTGGGATAATGCATAACGCACGAGAACAGTCTGTTCAGTTTGAGTGCACCTGCCCTGTGTTTGCAAAGATGCGAAATCGCGCGCAATATGCCCATGCACGCGCGACGGACGATTTCGTTGTCGCGATCTCGTCGCCCAAACCACCGATCCCAACGATGAAATCGCGGCGACAAAATCGTGGACACTATGCCCGTTGCCTTAGGCGTTGAGTATTTATCAATCTCCTGTATAGGAAGGGGTTCCACTACAGTTAACAGCACCTACAGGGGCGGGCACTGGCGCCCGCAATATATGAAGCCAAGCTGGTGACCGGGCTCCTGTTTATTGAAGAATATGGTCCGATCTGGCAAGTTTGGCCATGTCGGGCACGGCAGTCGGGCACAGTCGGGCAGCAGCCCCCATCTTGACGAGTCGGGCGGCGCTGCCCGTTTGGGCCGCGCTTCCCAGACTTCATAAATCGCGGGAAGGGCGGTCTGGCCTGTGCGGGCTCTCGTTAACAATGGCCCGCACAGCGAGCGGGAGATTGATAAATACCGCCCCTGACATCACCCTTGTACATAACTCATAGTGGCGCCTTCCAAATATGCTGGCCATAGGGATTTTACTAATCTACGAAAGTTGTCAGACTATGCATTTCGGTCTATCAGTGTTAGATTTGAAGACATCTGGCGAATTGAATGATCGTGGGGCGACCGAAATTGCGCGAAGTATGACAAAAGCCTTCGAAAGAATTCGTTTACGATACATAACTTGTTCTCTATGATCAGGAACAGTCAATATATTTACTTACGGAAAGCCAAGGATATTCTAAACGAGATTTTGAAAGCTTCGAAAAACAGCTAGTTGCACAATCACTTTTTGTTGCTTTGATTACTTCTGAATGAAAGATACATCTAATAACACTTCTGATGAGACCAACCTCCTCTAGGAGATGTTCAAAATAAACTAAAGGAGACATGGATTCTCCGCCTTCTTGATATCACAGTTTATACCTGTTTAATTTGTTACCAGTGCGGTACCTCTGCTTCGCAGAGGCACGCACTGGCCGTTTTGGAAAGATAAGGCTTTGGCCATACTTTGCCCGTGTTGCCGATGTTTCCAGTGTTGCCAGTGTTGAAAGTGTTGAAAGTGTTGCCGGTGTTGAAAGTGTTGAACGGAGATCATCAGTCTAGCAGTTTCATTCTTTCTCGAACGATCTCACCGGCTGGTGAATAAATTGGAAATGGTATTGGGGAATGAGAAATGAAACTGAAATGAGATGGGGAATGTTTTCGCATGCAAAAAATCCTCAAACAAACTTTTGAAAAGTGGACGGCTTGTCTGGAATAGGCATTCTCCAATATTTGAAAACGCTGCAGACCTCACTTAGGTCCTTTACTCACTAATCGCAACGGCAGGATTCGTACTAAAACACATTACTACTCAGACGTCAGTTCTCTCAAATATTGGAGATTGCCTATTCCAGACAAGCCGTCCACTTTCCAAAAAATTTGTTTGGGGATCTTTTGCATGCGAAAACATTCCCCATCTTATCTCAGTTTCATTTCTCATTCCCCAATTCCATTTCCAAAGTATTCACCAGCCGGTGAGATCGTTCGAGAAAAAATGGAACTGCTAGACTGATGATCTCCGTTCAACACTTTCAACACCGGCAACACTTTCAACACTTTCAACACTGGCAACACTTTCAACACTTTCAACACCGGTAACACTTTCAACACTTTCAACACTTTCAACACCGGCAACACTTTCAACACTGGCAACACTGGAAACATCGGCAACACGGGCAAAGTATGGCCAAAGCCTAAAAACTTACGTGGAGGTGCATCATTTTTCATTCCAGTAAGCAATCCCAAATGAAAATGAACCTCCCCTGTCGTGCTACTCTCGCATACTTCAGAGCAAAATAAATCATTCCTTACTGTATTTTCGTAACGGACAAACTCCACACAGCCTCAGATTAAGCGGCTTATTATAAGTCATGATAGCGTGTTAGCTCCAAAACGACTGTGTCAACTTGTGTATATTGACTTGTCAACAAGAGAATTTTTACGAGATTATTCAAAGAGGCCATGATACCTATCTACTTCAAATTTGAATTAAAGATATTTGACTTCTGTTCTACACCGAAACCTGGTATCCATTTAGACTACAACAGATGTTTAGATCTCGAAGTAATTTTCTACCGGTCCGCAGCTTCTGCAATTTGGCTACTTCAAAGCCTTCGAACCATCGGAGAGGAACGGGAAACATAGGTGTACTTCCTTACAGAGATGATCCTAATTTCACACAATGAGGTTTTCTAGTTCGAAATGTTTCTTTGACATAGCTACAGCAATTCTGACCAACAATCATGAGCGAGCCAATACCTGCTGCTGATTCTATGTGACATGCAATGCTCAGTAACCGATGCATTTCGCGCTACAATCGCTAATGCTAGCACGCTCGCTTCGAGTTGTTGGCGGGACGCCCGCTGTCGGCGATGCGCGTGACGCCCGCTATTTGCCCATTGATTGGCGGTTTCCACTCCATTCTCTTGCGACTTCTAATCTGCCAACTGTTTTCTGCTGTTTGTGGATCTTCACTATGCCATTGTTTAAAGGTGTTGACAAGTCCAGACATCTGCTAACATTTTGGCGTCGCGGTTTTATCCCTTTCATATCACGTTTTCTTTCTACGTAGTAAAGCTTGCTCTAATGGCTCTTACCTTTTTCTAGATAGAATATCAGATTAGTGGAACGGAATGTTTTGTAAAATGGACCTGAAATGTTCTTGTAAAATGGACCTCATGTTGTTCACATCTGTTGGCGCTTCTTCAGTTTTCTTCCATAGAATTAATATGGGCTATTCGGTATATCCCAACATCAAAAGCTTTACACGGCAAACTGTGAAGGCAGACAGAGAGACAAAACTTTTTTGGCACACAAAATGCGATCCTAAGCTCTCGAACGCACAAGACCAGCCACATCTAGCCCTAGACTCACCCGCGCCAACGGATCGATTGTTGCTGGTGGGGTGCGTCCCTGCTGGCCGGCGCGCCTTTCAACTCATTTTGAGGACAGAGTGACGCGGGAACTCTTTACCACTAGAGATGTTCGAATGTGGCGCAGAATTCAGAGTAAGTTGCTAAATGTATAACTGGGGACTTTTTTGCATCAAATGAATTTGGTGAAGTTGAGTGGATACATCAAATATGATTCTCAACCACCTTGTAATGTAAGAAGAGGGCAGGTTGTATCATTGCGCTTCTCGTTGCGAGAGTGCCAGTACTCAGTGCTCAGGAGTAAAGGTTGGCAATGTCAACGTCATTAGTGTCTGCAACTTCACCTTCCATAGATGGGAGGGCCAATACAAATCAGCGATGATCTTCACTTACGAGTCCTGTTTTGAAAGTCCAAAGCATATTATTGTACTGTGTAGGCACAGCGTAAAAGAGGTCTCCCTCTCCCTCCCTCAGTTAATTATCTCTTTTTGATTGGCAGCAAAGCATTTTGACGATGAACTTGATAGCTTTAGTTCCAGCTAAGTACTTTATTCCAAAAAATACTGTGAAGCAGGAATACAACCAACATTTTCTACAGATCAGGATAGACTATCGCTAGGTTTGACAAAAACGGAACTGACATTTTCTTTTCTCTAACTTTAATGCAAATAAACGTAGAGATTTGTGCCACGTGAGTGGTTTTGGATTGTTTGGGGACTACACTACACCTTTGGAAACGGACGCCAACAGCCAGCCATTTATCCATCTAGAACTTACTCTTGAGGAGCTTCTTGCAAGCTTCATAGAAGCCATAGCATTCTGGAGTTGAGCTATGATCCGAAATCAACGGGTGGGGAGTATATGTTGCCGAAAGTGAGAGGTCCCTCCTGACATTGCAACAAATACACATTCCAATACATGCACTGGCTGAGTATCTGCTGCATCGTCCGCGCGACCCTCCCACTTTCGGCGACATTTCTAATATATAAAATCCCATTCAAAAATCTGCAAATAGCGGGAAGTCGCGGTGCGGTCCCGAAGCGCGGATGCAATCTAGCCCTTCAATTACTGGTTCACTAGTATATAAAGAATCGTTAGCTCAATTCAAAAATCTTCAAATAGCGGGAAACCGCGATGCGGTCCGGAGGGCGCGGATGCAACCTAGCATTACTGTTCACTAGTATGGTCATCTAACCGAAATCAGCTACAGCTAAACATCGGAATACGTCACACAGCAATGGTTTCAGCGGTACATGTGGTGCCTTGCAGTGAGAACAACACTTTGTGTGAGCATGTCTATTGCTGTGTTGTCATTTTAGTGGGCTATTTCTTCACGCGCAAATTTACGGCATTTTCTCGGCACCGCAAGCGCACTTTATAGAGCGGAAAGTCTACTGCACTAAATTTCCAAGTTCGTCATGAATAACATCTGTTCACGCGCAAGTGTTGTCGGTTGCGCAGGGGATTATGTGTCCCATTCAAATTTGTTGGCCTATCACGCCCTAAATGTGACTCATCAAGTCGTTTTCGTAGTATCTACTTCCATCCTGACCCACGGGTACATTTGTCTCCATAAACATTTTACAGATAAAGATGAGCGCTGCTAACAGCGTAGAAGCATCACCAGCGCAGAGCAGCCGTACGCCAAGACGAAAGATGGCTGAGGAAATTTGTGAAGGAGAGCGTAAGTTCCATATTGGTCATCTGCATATTCTCAATGCACACTTTTAGCACCCGCAAAATGTGTCGATCGCGGGCCAAATGTGAGTCGGTATGTGACTGTGCCCCCGCTGAGATTCAAACCCAGGACATTGGACGAGTTTGCGGTTAATTTTTTTGTTCACCTATTTCTACGGAACCAGCTAATGTATTCGTATTTTTAGCAGTTTCTCGAAAATGATTCGAACCGTGTTGTTGATATGGACATTTGGTCACTTTTTGGAGAAGGAAACTACGTTAACTACCGCGTGAAGTTGGTGATCACAGCACTTCTGGAAAAGGTGCGTTTTCTTCAAGGAAACCTGTCTAATCAAAACATGTGGTGGGTGTAGGACCTTAGGAACTAGTCAACTCATGTGAAAAGAAGCACTTCATTAACATTTGAAGTACTCGCTTTTCTAAACTAGTTGGTGTCAAGGCGCTTCATAGTACAGTCGAGTAGAATTTCCGCTTAAAGGCAGTGGATCAGCAGAATGGACCCTTCTCGGATTTTGGTGGATTTAGGTAGTAGACCCCCAAGTACACTGTAGCACCCCATCTGCCAATTAATGCGCTAAGTCTGAAAAATGCGCTTCAAGAGTCCATCAGCCCCGCCCACTCACTGCAAAGGGGCGGAGTTGGCGGAGTTTTGAAGCGCATTTTTCAGGACTTAGCGCATGAATTGGCAACGGGTTTGGGCTACATTGTACTTTGGGGGGGGGTCTACTACCTAAATCCACCAAAATTTGAGAAGGGTCCTTCTGCTGGTCCACTGCCTTTGATATAGTGTATTTGCACTGTAGGTGAAATGCGGTAAAATTTGCGCGTGAAGAAATAGCTATACGCCTGTGACGCTTTCCATTCGCGCGCAGAATGCCGGCCGGCATTATTGTCGTGGCTAATTTTTACGCGCAAATTTTATCGCATTTCACGTATAGTGCAAGCACACTATATTGAGCGGAAAAACTACTCGACTGTAGAATATGTTACTCAAAACTATGTGGTGGTTGCCTTCGTTATTATTGAGGTGCAGCCGAGAAAATTTTTGCAATAGATAATGTGAGCAATGGATATGCCTGCGCGAATGAAATATCCTTTCCAGCTTTGATAGCGAGAGACTTTCAAAAATTGTTCTAACGTGGGGTTTTGACAAGCTTATCAGCTATCAAATGTCCGCAATACTTTGACATTGCCGAAATGTGGGTATCAATATAGTAGATAATATAATAGGCTAGTATCGTTCCGTCTAAGTAGGTCCATGACGGTTACCTAATATCGACGGATGAGCTATATCCGAGCAAGGGACGTGCGCACTGCGTTATACACTGGCGCATGTTTTTTTACTCTATTATGAGGAGAGAAGCGTAGTTGGTATAGTGTCTCGCGATGCCGTCATTTGCCGGCAACATTTGCGCGTGAACAAATTTGCTACGTCTCTAATGCCTGCAATTTGCGCGTACGAATTGTTCGCTCATTCTTAGGGCCGCATGCACTAATGTCCCCGCGGGGAGGGGATCGCAGCTTCAGAAGAAAGCTTCATATCCTGAAGTTCCGGATATCTGGATTTCACGCTGTCTACCTATCCGTAAGTATTCCTACTACCCTTTACTATGAACATGTTGAACAGGAGCGAGAAGCTGTACAAACCGCATTTTCCAACTTTTGTATGATCCCTGATGATCCCTGGCGCTTTTCTTCAAAGTCATTTTTCTTTCTTCGAAGTTAACGAAAACCTTCCAAAGTTGTACTGAACATCTAACACAATACTGCTAAGCATGTTGCTGATGAGAACAAATGACTTTTTGAAAAGTCGAATTTTTCGGTAAGCCTGAAATTTCGACCTGTGGATCATCGCAAATTTCATGACTTCAAAACATCATTTGTTCTTAGCAGCAACATGCTTAGCATCGGGTTAGACAATCTGCACAACTCTGGAGATTCTTCGTTAACTTCGAAGAAAGAAAAATGACTTTGAAGAAAAGCGCCAGGGATCATCAGGGATCATACAAAAGTTGGAAAATGCGGTTTGTACAGCTTCTCGCTTCTGTTCAACATGTTCATAGTGAAGGGTAATAGGAATACTTACGGATAGGTACACAACGTGAAATTCAGGTATCTGGAGTTTCGAAATATAAAGCTTTCTTTTAAGCTGCGATCCCCTCCCCGCGGGGATGTTAGTGCATGCGGCCCTTAGTGTCTGCGCACTGGCAGTTTGTTCAAGTGCGAATGTTGCGGACAATCCGCGCCACAGGAACAATGTATTGACCATGGGATCTGCTAGGCTGTAGATCTTTCTGTTCGCGGTACACAATAGAATATACTGGCTTGATCATGTAATGAGTAGACAGGGGCCTCTAATATATAGATAGTTGGTTTTTTCGTGGTACTAAATGCGCGTGACTTTCGCGGCAATAGATAGATAAAAGGATGTAGATAAAATCAAGGAGGAAGGTTGTGGCGCAAAGGCTCATTGTGGAGTTAGAATTGTGGTATCGTACTGCTACGCAGGAGTACCTTTCTTTAGGCAGATTTCTAACTAAGAAATTTCAGCAGTCTGTTGGTATTCAATCCTTCACCTATACGCAACAATCAAAACTTGAATTCGCATCTGTTAGGAAAAAGCACTGAGAATTGTCGTCATAACTCTGGCCGGTGTATGGCACGTGTGCGCGCATCTCGGTACCTTTGTTGAAGTCATTTACTCAAGGGTCAGTAGCAGCAAGGTTAAGTAAGAATGACATCTTTAGCTGGGTTCATAGTGATCCGTAGGTTCCGGAACAGTTCCAGCACAGCGCTCGGATTGATTGTGTGCTGCGCTGGAATTGTTCCGGAACTTACGAATCAGTATGAACCCAGCCCTTGTTCTCAGTTGTATACGTTAATGTGGCATCATCATTAACTCAATTAGTGGTCATAATCCGTAGATTCCAGGAGGGATGCTAATTCAAGTTTAATCCAGAGCTGAAGACAGCGCTTCCAATTTTTTAGTTCCATCGGCTTTTTTTTTGACTGTTCATGTTTAGATCGACAGACTTCAAAGAGGAGGTGGAAGTGGTGGCTCCATAGGTGCTCCGGTCTACGAAGAGGTGCACTATCTGGACGTAGACGATATGGAACCAAGAATCATCATGCCACCTGCTCATCAAGGATCCATACCTAACAGCGCTCATAATCTTCATCACCGCAGACCTAGTGACGGTGGCGTTAATACTTCTCTGTTTATGTTCCTCGACAATCCTCCGATGCCTCGTGAATACTATGACATAAGACCTAATGTCCCTGTAAGTTTTAAGGTTTCTTCTTCTTACCATCTCTTCACCGATTTTTCTAGGATCTTCGGAATTTCAATCTTCTTGATACATACACACTTCTGAAACACAGAAGAGGGACCGGTGGCTTCCGTTTGGAGCTCAAGCGCTTCCTCACACACATGACACGTATGGTAAGTAGTGTTATGCTTTATCACTCTAAGTAATTATTGTTTTTAGATACATTCGAACGCAGCTCGAGGACAGTACACAATGATCAAACCCGGTGTTAGAAGAGATGCAAAGAAGAAGCAGTATCCGAGTGCTCTGATCGAACAAATCGTTGGTTGGTGTCTTTTTTGTAAATTCTTTTGAAACTTGCGTGTTTTTTTTTTCAAGTATATAGGCCTTTGTCTGAGGTAAAATTCTTGGTATACATTGAAACCTCTTTAGACGGCATCTCGTCTCTTATCATAAATCTGGATGGTACAGAACCTGACAAAGTGGCGCTTTCCATACTGATCAAAGATACTTGGATAGCAGTTTTGTGAGTCATGTCAGAAAAACTAGTAGTCGATAGTTTCATGGAGTTAAATACAGTATATAGACTTTAGGTACGAAGACCGCCGTAATCCACCACGTTTCTTCCCGTTCTCTGATGAGGAGCTCGAAGCTTTGTCTGGCGAGGGAAGACATTACGTCAATAATGGAATGATCCGGAGGAAGATTGAACCTGAAAGTGTAGGTTTACATTGCCTTTGATTTTTATTCAGTGAACAGCACAAATCCAAAGTTATTCAGAGATTGGTGCAGAAAATTTATGCTCTTTCTGATAGTTTTATAGTTTCTCTAGCTCATACGCTTTTGATCTATCAAACTAGTTTTTTTATATGGTAAAATTTCTAGTGAAGAGTCACTTCACTGGTCCTCTTTCCAGCAGTCGTTTTGTGTAACTGCGCCACATTTGCAATCTACATTAGAGCAAAGCAGCAGTAAAGTCACTATCATGCTTGGGAAAATAGCAGAAAATTATGGTAAAAAGAAGACAGCTGCGGGAAATAGATTTGAAATTTTTGCTGTAAGCTGATAAAATGAAGTTCGTTCTGCTCTTATTGTAAATCTGCGTTACCTTTCAGTCAGCAGAAGACGCGGATGTAACTCAGTGGAACGGCGGCATGTGAAATTATTTCCATATCAGACGTGCACGATCTCGTTCTTATCATTTGTTATATACATAGTATGTTGAAATGTATCGGGTCATGTTATGCCTCTCATCCGTATAGAATAGAATTGCTAATGAAGTAGAGCAATGTACTGGAATTGATTTGTTGTATATAACAATTTTCTTTTCAAGAGATGCCCTCAATTTATTGTGTCTGCTCGGAGATGGAGTGTTCCTTTTAGGAGCATGTAGCACACACAACAAGAACATTAACTGAGAAATAATCGAGTAGAATAACAAACACGCGAGCTTTCGAGCAGAGTGTTACAGTCGGCGCTCGGGTCCGGTCCCTCACCGCGTTCGCGAATTTGTCTTAGGGCATTTCCCCAAGCTCTTCAACCATTGATGATAAAGGATAGATACGGTATCTCCCACGCCTCAAGCATGGAAAATACCGTATCCGATGAGCGCGAACTCGACGAGAGACCCAAGCGAGGCGGTTCCTAATTTACGAATAACAGGTTTCGAGGCTTAGTCAAGGCATCGTTACTATACTGCGTGCAGTTTGTAGAATAAGTTCTCAATCTCAACCGCTCCGATCAAGATTAGAACGCACTTTTAGGTGCATTGAAATAAATAATTTACAATCAAAAGAGTGTCCCAGCCAAACGAAGAATGCGGAGTCGCTGTGGACCTTATGGCCGTGCGTTCTAGAGGCAGTTCGACGCTGGAAGGACGAGTTGGCAACCGTCGAACACCGCATTGCAAGAGGGGTCCTACCGAAATTGTTTGTTCCCCAAAGATGCAAGATCTTGCGGGACGCTGCTTGTATGTATAGCCAACTGGTAGCAATTGTTACCATTATTCAAGCGCTTTTATGAAGAAAAATGTTGAAATGTGAAGCTCGTTGCAGAACTGCTCGTGGAAATCGAAGTGGATGAGTACGTACTACTAGTTGTGGAAAAGGATCTCGGAGTTGTTCACGAGCTGAAAATGCTAATTGTTTGTAAATTCTAATGCAGCTGCAAAGCTTAGCCACCAACAAGTATTATACGAATGGCTCTCATGGTCCCAGGGGCTAAGTCCAGATAGAATGGAAGAGAACATAATTAGTCTTGATAAGGTTATAATTATTTCCGGTACTGTCCCGAACCTTATGTACTACAGGTTGAAGCAAACTCGATGTGCTGAACTTGAACGGAAGCGTTATGTCTGAGTCTTCAAGTATGGAGGTGTTTCTATCGATACCAGCCGATCTCGGTGCTTATCGCTTTGCCTGTTCTTTCTTTCTGATTAGACAGAAGGCCACTGTGTCAATGTTCTTCTAAATCTTGAAATAATCATCTTTTGCATCATCTTGTAAGTCTTTGCATCAACTTTAGTGTGATACTAAGCGGTTGCATCATTCTTACCGCATGAAACAGCATGAACAACCTACTGCTGTCTGTTATATACTTTATACTACCATATTTCATACTTCAATGTGATTTTATGTATTTAACTTTTTTGACAATTCTTGTTCCTATTTTTCTATATATCACTTTTTATTGCTTGAAGAAAACAACCGCAGAACGTCATTGCACTAATGAGTGTTCATCACAAATTCAACTAAAATGTACACAAAATTTATTTGTAGAGTCATTCAAAAAAAAAGAAGAAGAATGGAGCGAAAAGAAATGTTGAGCTAAAAAAGAATAGTAGCAAAATATAGACTTAATAAAAAGGGGTCGTGATTAGACCCCGAGAATGAGACGCGCAATTTTTGAAATCTACTTGAATGAGTTATAAAAATGTGCGAAGAATAATCCAAGTAGTAATTTTGTAAATCTTTCAAAAATCATTTTAACGTAAAAACCACACCCTCCAGCCGAAAAAAAAACTCTTAGCCCCTCTTTCGAACGGAAATCCTGGGACCGCCGCTGCTATGCATCTGTATAAATGCGGAGAACAAAGAGATATTCAGATTCAACCATTTTCTTTTTTTATGTTGCTTCTAGGCAGTCATATCTTAACAAAACGAAGTTCTTCTGTTTGCTCTTCTGTTGCTTGATTTTTTGAATTCGATTTCTTGTGCCGTTGTAAGAACGAACAAAACGTTGTCACGAAGTACGTTTAGAACAGTCAAGAAAAAAAGTTCCTTTTCGGAGCATTGTAGTTCTAAGATTTCTTCTATTAGTCCGAGTCTGTCGACTAGAGCAAAGAATGGTACACAGCAGCTTAGAGAAAGACTATGTGTATTACACGTAGAAATCGGCTCTGTATAGAAAAAATAAAGAAAAACTATAAAGCAGATAAGAATCCTTCCAGCTGCACGAAGGCCTAAAACGTAAGTGATTCTTATCGGTCCAAGGTGTACGTCTGCCTGTCACTTCCTAGTGATTATGATTATAGTCCAAAGATCAAATCGGTTCCTTATATTCAAAAATGTCTGTACATGTTAAAGCAAAGCAGAAGGTGATTACAATCAGTCCTGTCCTTCCTCTAACGTGGATTTTTCTTCATTCTGAATCCCTGTAATTTTAATTTTCATTCGATGTCCACATGCATTTACAGCCCATTGAGTAAAACTAAAAGCATTTTAATTAATAAATTGATCTAAAAGTTCGTGCCGTTTTTCAAACCTATCCTTGAATCGTTTAGAGTAATGATTGGCAAATTCCCCAAACTGTATCTGATGTAGAATCTCTTCCCCTTCCTAGTAGTGATGTTTTTGTTTCGAAATCTTTTATGGTCGCTCGAATAATCGTCAGAATCTCCAACCCATGTAGTTTACCTACCCCTATTTGAGTCATTTTTTGAAATTTTCATTTCTGACTTTTGAAAGTTTTGATTACTGTTAGATAGTGTAGACAAAATCTCAGACAATGATTTGTGAGCTTTTTTGACTGGCTTGCACGTATTTTTAAGAATGTTTTTCAAGAGTCATCTTTTTTGAGAAGTTCCAAAATACACAAACCTTCAAACACCAATAAACCTTCGAATTTCGACTCTTCCAACAGATCATAATCAAACACTAGTTTAACAAATGAGCATTTACCGCTTCGGAAAAATTTTGAATTCTCTGGGCACGGCTTGTGGTGCGTTAGAAACTAGAATTACGGGCTCCAACCTCAAAACCCTCACGAGTCAGGGAGAAAACACTCTGCGTCGAACGACACCTTATTTGTTCGCTGTATGATGTTCTTTGGGATTGAGATGGCCAAATGTGGAATGAGCATCAAAAAATGATTTCAAAAACTTTAAAATTTCAGCTATAAATGAAAAAGTGCACCTATTTTCATTTGGTTTACTTCATCCAGCATGATCAACGCTCCAGAGGTTAGAAATGAAAGTAAAAAATAGTCACAACAAGCTCAAGTAGAAGTCAAGAAGATCCTGACGATTACTGAGCGAATAACAAAGAAATGAAAATAAGAAAACAGGAACACAACTGCTAGATAGAGGAAGAAATTTTGCATCGAACACTGTATGAAACGTTTGTCTATCTTTATTTTTAACTATTCTAGCGTAAGTTTCATATGCGACATGAATTTTGCATCCATCTAGTAGAAGTACCTAAGCGGCAGCAACAGAACGACTCTTTGATCTCTCCCCCGCTCCTTTCTCCCACAGAAAATGGAGAAATTTCTTGAAATAGCCTACATGAGGAATAAGTTGCACAAGTGACCTGTTTTCAAGGGGAGTAACTGTAGTAAATTTTTCATATTTGTTGGGGCTATAAAACCGCTAAGATTTTGTGAAACATCTCAAAAATACCTTTTTATTCGAATAAAGGTCCTGGCTTCCTTTATTTGAAAAAAAAAACTAATCTCTGTCACCATCTTGTAGGAGATTGCTTATAATCCATAGAACGATTTAGTCCAGCCTCTAGCTGTTCCTAGCCATATCGCTTCACTCCGTCCTAAAAAATGGTGATTCTCTAATCTCCTGTCATAGTTAAATTATCAGTGAGCAAGTAAACGTGTGAAAATCATATGTGCACTCCTAGCTTCTAGCTTCCTCAGCTAGATCTTTGCTTTAATTCGATATAATTTTAATGAAAAGTTTTTATTCTTTACATGCTCGTAAAACAGCAGTCTGCCACTTAAGCGGCATTTGAAAATTTTTGCCCTTTTTCCACTACTGTTCAATTTGGATTTAAAAGTTGCAAAGGTTTGTCTTCACGTCAAGATCAAACAATTCTAATTTAGTATATTTATGCAAAGCCAAGGGCGCAAGAGGTTAATCTGAAAGTGCAAATGGACAATAGTGCAGCGAATTTCGCTTTCAAGCCTTAGCAGTTGCTCGAACTCTGCAAAAAATGTGTGGTCTAGCATTCGAGTGATAAACTCTAGAGAGTATTCTTGGTTTGCTTCTTTCTGTTAGTTTTAACCAAAAATTTATAGAATATTTTCGTGGCAGCAAATTTTATACAGTGCGCAAATAGTACAAAGGTCTTTCTTAGACATTGTTCACACGTCGTATTTGTAAGAAACATTTTCGAAAAGTACACCTTTTATGTCTAATTACCTGTGAACAGAATTTACAAAACAGGTTTTTTGTTAGTTTGAAATGTTATTCTTCTCTCTGCTATTACATCAATGGTCCGTCCTACAAAGTCATTCTTAAATAAAATTTTGCGCCTAATTCAATCATATGCTCCTCGAAGAACTTCCTTTTCCTGTTGTTGATTTGAGTAAGGATATGAAAACCGTACTTAACTTCAGAGCTCTCAGTTCAAGCGATGCAACCATCTGTTAGAAACTTGCATCTCGTCTTGCTTTGCAAAAATCAAAATTCTCTCTAAGTAACCTTGGATGAAAAACGATCACTTTATAGCTATCGTAGCGGTAATGGAAAGGTCAAGGATGCATATTCGTGCTGATAGAGGCTGAGAGGATATTTGAGATTCTTCCAGAATATTGCAGAACAATCTTACTTTCCTGACAAATTTGTTACTTCATCCTGCTCGAATTTTATTTCTTCATAGAAAAAATATGTACCGTAGTCGTGTAAATTCACAATTTTTTAGGTGTGACTGTGCTTCTTATGACCAGGAAAGAAGTTAACCGGATTGGTGTATTTGGAGCTACAAGCTATGTTATTGGTTCAGTTATCGGATCCGGTATTTTTGTCTCTCCAAAAGGCATCCTTGAACATGCTGGTTCCATTGGATTATCTCTAATAATATGGGTGCTGTCAGCAGTGCTTGCTAGCCTGACAGCAATAGTAGGTTTTTCAAAATTTTTTTATAATTTCAAGTTTTTCAAGTTTTTTTTTTGTTTTTAGAACTATATCGAACTGGGAACAAGTATTCCAGAATCAGGAGCAGAATTTGCCTATGTTATGTATGTTGGATGGTATCCAGTAGCTTTCTCGTTTCTTTGGCTATCCACAATTATACAATGGTATCTGCTAGTTTTTCTTATGATGATAAAAAGCTTAAAATTTAAAAATTTGCAGTTCCTGCAGCGGAGCCACCTTAGCGCTCACTTTTGGAGAATATATTATGGTCGCCATAGACCCCTTGGTCTGTTTGAGTGAAACGGATCGTAAAAATGCCGTGCTATTGTTCTCGTACGGGATTTTATGTGAGTTTTTTGTTGCTTTATCAAGTGATTACCATTTTTGTCACCTTCTGCTGTCTAGTTTTTATGCCTTGTGAAAAAACGAGAGAAAAAAGTGCATTGTAATGTCACTCCAAAGTGAATTAATGCCGATGATATTAACCTCTTCTTAGTCAAAGAAGTTTCGATTTCGTTGGAGTGAAAACAGAATATTTTTTCTTGGATTGTCGGCGGAGGGGTAGGGATGGAAAGAAAGAAGAACGCGATGGAGACTCACTCAGGGCCCGGCACGAGGTAGGCAAACGGGGTTTTCCAAAACGAATTCCCCTTTGATCCCAATAAATTTTACGAATACCCCCTTGAGCCCAAAAATGACGTTTTGTGCTTGTGCGACGAGATTACCGGCCACACTTCGCCTAAAAGCGCTCAAAAGCGCCCAAATTGCTCAAATTCCTCAAATTACTCCTCAGCTGGATCAAGATAGAAAACAGGAAGAAAAATAAGCAAGAAAGTGATTAAAGAATGAGAAAATATCAAAGAAACGCAGTCATAGGAATGAGAGACGCCGCTCCCGCGCGTATCGATTGACTGGAGCGCGCTTTCCATCTTAAAAAGCTAGGCTGCTGATGCGATTTTGGGCTCTAACAAGGTCAAGAGGAGGAGTTTCGGAATTAAAATTTCACCATATAGTAAACTTTAGGTGTACAACAGATTTATGTAAAAACTTTGAAAAAATTATGTGAACTGAGAGTTTTGCCGACCTCAGGTGGGAATTAGGTCGGCAAATGCCGACCTAATTTGAAAATTAGTTAAGGAAACTTTTCATTCACATAAGTTTTTCATAATATTTAATACTTAGTTACTTAGTCCTACTGCGCATACACACACCGAATCCCGCGCGATTTCGTTACCTCTGCGTTGCAAACGAGCCATTTTTCCATTTCTTTGGTAGCGCAAAATTTTCAGAAAAAAGTTTGCCACAACCTTCAGTCACATAACTTTTCAATGAAACTCCTCAGTTAAGCCCTGCAAGTCCGTGTGCATGCACTTACCAAGTTTCATGCCATATCTTTCATCTGCGCGTTCCAAACGAGCCGTTTAAATTCACATCTTCATTTACCAGTTTTGCGAAATTCTCGGATAAAATGCTAATTACTCGTTCCGTTCACATAAGTTTTTCATAAATTTTCATACTATGTTTCCACTAGCCTCTCTCCGTTCGCATACAAAATTTGGTGCCATATCGTTACACATACATTGAGAACTAGTCATGCATGCTGTTACAAATAGCATCGCTTGGGCGACGTCGCGCGTGCGGCAATTAGCGACGGCGCGGTTTGACGCGCGCGAACTCCAGTGTTCGCCTGTTGAGGCACATAACATGTCAAGATAAGTAGCGAGCATGAACTACCAATTTTTCCGGGGCTCCGCCCCGGACCCCGCAAAAACGACTTCCCCTTTGCTTTTTGGCCCCAAAACGATTTCCAGCTTGTCATTTGCCGACCTCGTGCCGGGCCCTGGACTCACTGAATGAAGAGATCTACTATTAGCAGACCGAATTTGTTCCAAAGAAGCTCCTGATTTTTTTCAAGCCTAAATTCGAAAAATTTCGGAGCTATTTTGATCAGAATCGAAAGGATAACTTACACAAATTTTTAGAGAATACTGCCGCGTTTTTTCGTGCAGGCTCCTTTCTTGTAACAAATCACAGTGTCCCAGCTTTATTTAAAGTTCTATTTTTGTTATTCTTGAGATTACCGTTAGTGAACAGGCCCATTCTTTGTTTTACTTCCTTAGGCAGAGCACACCCATATAAAAAGATAGGAGTCAAAAAAGGTATTGTTAGTTCAAATTTGCAGTGATAAAAAAATGATAGAAATGTTGATTACTATTTGGTAAGGTAGTAAGAAGATAGTAAAAATGGAATTCTCAACTTGACGATGTTTTTCAGTGCTGACATGCCTTCTGAACATGTACTCATTGAGCCGAGTTGCTGCTAAACTTCAAATGGCCAGCATGATTGCCAAGGTCGCCGCCCTTATACTCATCATCGCTATCGGCTTGTATTATATGATATTTAAAGGTTAGCTTATTTTAATTGTTTTAGGTGAAAAAATATACGAAAATCGTAAATTATCAAGCTCTTAGTGGACTGGTGAACACCTTGATTTATCATGTAATTTATATAATGCCTGAACTTACTGAGTTACTGTTACTGAGTTAAGCAAAAGATTTTGCTACAATGGCTACATCACTGGCTTGCAAATTACGAACCTGCGTAGTAACTTTCATTGAACGAACTCAAAGGATTCATTTAGTGGTAATGATTTTCATCCCATCAGTCTTATCAGACAATTTCGACAAGAGCGAGTCATGCAAGGGTGTTCCCATTTTTTTTTGAAGGTAATCACTATCAATCGATCTTATTAGCAGTCCAAGACCAGTAAAAAATATCTGTCGTACTTCTGAAATGGAATGCTTTTGAAATCTGCTGGTCTGGAAAAACTTATTCAGTGCGAGTGTTTGATGTAAGACAGGAATAAAATCACTGCTTTTCTGCTCCACATTAAGCTGGGACTGTTGGAAATTCAATGGAAAAATTACAATAACGTGTCCAAAAGTATGTATACACTGTTTGATTGTTGATATCTCTTTTCCCAAGAAGTCTTTTGCTTACCTTTAGGACCATTTTATAAAGCTGGATTCAGCTTTTTACAGTATGGAGCGAATCACCAGTCGCTCTTCATTACTGCAGAATTACGGTAGAAATCTCAAGAAGGGTTGTGAGCCACCAAGGACCTTATTTCGTCTCGGGAAGCAAGCCGAACAACCAGAGAACTTTCATGCTAAACCAGCTGAAGCCGCTAAAACCGAATATGATGTTTGCACTTTACCGCAATGCTTCCTTTATAAGTTATGCCAGAGACCGCAATAGCTGTTTTCACAGGACTCCATAAAATCGTGATTACACCATTTTAAAGGCTTAGCAAACTCGTAAAAAGCTGAATAATAAAACCAGCGAGCTTGAAAATTCTAGTACACACTTTTCAGATTTTCTGGAAATTTTTTTTTAAACACAGTAAATCTGTAATGACGCTATAAGCTGAAAGTTCCTACCGTAATCTTACAGTAGTGAAGAGTGATCCGTGATTTGCTCTATATTGCAAATCTAAGTTGAAGCCGGCTCTTCAAAATGGTGCTTAGGGTAAGCAAAAGATTCGTTGGGAAAAGAGATATCAACGATCAAACAGTGTATACACACTGTTGGACACCCTGTAGACCTAGAAAAAACCAGTGTTATGATTGCAAAAGGAGCCGAGGCGCAATGAAAAAATGTTTGCAAAATAGCACAACGTTGTCTCAGAAAACTCAAACAATATCTACCATTTTGAAGAACTCACTTTTCCGAAGCGTGTGATTTGAGCACAACGCTAGTTGTGATGGATGCCTTCTTGCATAAGCGGTAATTGTTTTCCGCTACCCTGAGTTTAGAATAAGTGGATGAGATCGGTTTTGTTGTTTCAACAGGCAGAGCGAAACAGGCGCGGATTTACCATAAAGACGAACATTAATAGAGGTGGTCCTAGACTGATTAGTCTGTGTCCTTTATGAATGCGCTCGCAAATAGCTTACCCCCTTACAAGAGCTTTCTCCCTTTTTCAGGTTCAACCCAGCACTTCAGCAAAGATTACGCATTCAAGGGAAGTGACTTTTCTGTTGCTCAAATTGTGCTGGCTCTGTACCAAGGAAATTGGGCCTATGGAGGCTATACTTGTCTTAACTATGGCATGGAGGATATCCAAATTAAAAACTTCAAGAGGTAATAATGATACTTTACGTTTCTTCATGAAATTCACTCTTTTGAGGACAGTGCCTCTAGCAGTTTTATTTGGACTTCTTCTATCTGCTGGTGTGTATGTACTCGCTAATGTGGCCTACTTTGCAGTGTTGACCCCAGCGGAAATTATGAATTCCTCAGCAGTGGCTACGGTACAGATAATTTCAAAACCCAATAACTATATGTTCTTTCTCAATATATCCCCTCAGACATTTGCTCAACAAACGGTCGGCAACTTCTCGTATGCGATGCCAGCGCTTATTGCCATCCTTATGTTTGGCAGCATAAATGCGGAAATTTTTGCTTGGAGCAGGTAAGACTCTTTCTGGAAATGAATTTTCGATTAACAATAAGGTTAACCAACGGTCTCCTTAAAACTGGACACCAATTCGGCGCTATTCCAGAATACGCAACCCAAAAAATCAAAGCCTCGGATTTTGCTAAAACTTGGCATAAAGGGGTTGATCGACATGCTGATCACGAATATGTTATTTACTTCGCATGAAAAAACCACTTTTGTGGGATTACGGTAGGTATACGGTGTGGGGTCAAAATCATAGATTTGGCCGAAACTTGGCCCAGAGGGGTTCCGCTGATGCCAAATATCACATTGGTTTTGTGCAGTAGCGTCACTTTCTTGGGGGTTACGGTGAGTATACGATCGTATACGTGGTCAAAATCAAAACCGGCAAATGTATCTCTCCCCTGTGCTTTGCTTAAGCAAAAGCCGCAGCAGGGTGTATAGCGTGCGGCGTGGTCATGTGCGCAAAGCTTCACGGTCTCCGAATCACCGTACACCCGTTTCAGGCAGAACTGTGTTTTTCACCCGTTACCGTGTACCTAACCCGAGAAAATGAGCTATGGTACAAAACCAATGCGATATGCGGCGTCAGCGGGCCGAATAACCCCCTTGGGTCAAGTTTCAGCGAATTCTGGAATTTTGACTCCTTACCGTATACCTACCGTAACCCCACCGTATGGCGCTATCTTGAGAAACGGATATGGTATTCGTGATCAGCGTGTAGAATAACCCCCTAAACGAAGTTTCAGCCAAATCTATGATTTTGACCCCACACCGTATACCTACCGTAACCCCATAAAAATGGTCTTTTCATGCAAAATGAATATCATTTTTGTGATCAGCATGTCGAATAGCCCCTGTATGCCAAGTTTTAGCAAAATCCGAGATTTTGAATTTTTGGGTTGCGTAAATAAATGAAGAGAAAATTTCAACTCACAATCAGTCATCTTCAGAAAGCTGACACACTGGCGCAATGACTTTGGCTTTTTCCTCTCTTATTGTATGAAACTAAAACATTCTTCTTTTTTTATAAGTGTCGAAAGCACTGCCATAGATCATTCAGCAGAAACGAAAACAGAAAGTTTGTAAAGCACTCATGATTTGCTAAGGAATTAGTGTTATTCACGCGGACAGCTCCTGAGAAGTTTCTTTTTTAGATAATAATGACTCTTTTTGGCTGGCTTGAGCTATAAGGAAAGGCACTGCTATCTACTTAGTTATTTCGTTTATTTATTTACTTATCCTTGTACACAAATGCTGCTTGGCGCAAACAAACAAGGTGAAAAAAATAACATTGCAACACAATAAAGGGAGGTAAAATTTAAAAAAAAAGCTATAGTAGAAATGTTTAGCAAGAGGGACCAGAGTTCACATTTTGTTTTAGTTTTTTTGAGCATAAAGCTTTAGATGTCCAGCTGTTCAACGAAAGTTAATGTGTGAAAATCCTATGTGTACATTCTCAAAATGAAAACGACGATTTCAGATACATACAAGCTGGTGCTCGTCGAGGTATGATGCCTACAGCGTTGGCACTTATCCAACCTGACAACGATAGCCCAAGAACGACTGTCTTCTTACATGTGAGGATAAGTTGATATAGCTAAAACTTTCTAGGTTTACGGCTTCTCTTGCAGACCATCCTTTCCATGGCTTTTTGTCTCATTGGAAATGTTTATATTTTGGTGAATTACCTGACTGTTGTTGCGCTTCTGACGACCATGTTCTCGGTTGCAGCTCTAGTCTATATCAAGTGGAAAGATATTCCAGTAAGCACCAGCGCAGTGAAGGTGAGTATTGTCAAGTTCAACTTTTTGCCCGTCAAAACTGCCGATTTTCAGTTCCACATATTCTGGCCAATTCTAAACTTTATAATAAACATAGCTCTTCTAGTAATTCCTGTAGTTGTTGAACCTATTAAATCCGGAGTTGGACTGGTTCTCTTCCTTCTTGGAGTTGGTAAGCGATATTAAGACAATGATGTGCATATAGAAAAGCTTTACAACCTTTGTATTTAGTCTGCTATTTCATCTTCGTTCGGCCAAAGAAAACACCAGAGTTCTTGCGAAAAATCGACTGTAAGCATTCATTTTTTCGTTTCTAGAATGTTTAGAAATAGCCGGGCCTAGCAGGAATGGAAATGTTTTCCTAGCAGGAATGGAAATGTTTTTTGGATTTTTCTAATTTTGCTTATGTGTTGTCTAAACTCTTTCAAGTCAGTAAGACAGCCAGCTGCTCGTTTCACATCCCAAGAAACTTATTGAAGAGAAGAAACTTCTTTCACGTTCTCGGATCTGTAGTGCAAGAGTACAGTCTGCCCCAATCCTAACCAGGCCAAAATTGGCTTGGCGGGAGTGCGCGCCGCGAGGGTTTCGCGCCACTTCTGTGTCTAGCTAGTCTGCTCTCTCATCAATCTCTTCGCTCTCTGCAGCGCGCATATGCAGCGCAATCCCCTAGCGCTGCGAGCGCGCAAATTCAACCGACGGTTCGGCCTGATCCCGATCGGGGCAGACTGTAGCCATGTTTAATTATCTCGATTAATGCTGAAACTCATACAAAATCAATCGACGTACTGATTACTTTGTTGAAAAACATTTTTTTACTTGGTGGAGCTTCGTTTGTGGAGTCATTGTAAATATAGACAGGGCTGTGAAAATCTCAAAATGTGGTGAACTTTCGTGTAGGCAGTGGATTATTTGACTTGGTTATGACAGCTACAAAACCCACTGGTTTTAGTGCGCATTATTATAGTTTGGGATGACTCACGAAAACTCAACTGTACACATAGGTGGTTTTGCACCAATTGGAATATGAAAATCTTGAACAGCATCCATTAAATCCACTATACGAGGCTTTAGCAAAGTTGGTCTGAACAACTGGTCCCCCTACCGTATTCTACAAAAGTGGCCCATCTCGCAGAAGGAGCGCCGTTTTTGTTATAAGGAAGTCGGTCGACACCTATAAATTGTATCAAAATCTAAAATCAGTCTTAGGTTATTTTTTCAACTTTTATCGACCATTTCTAGACGTGGTCACATTCTTCTGCCAGCAGATCTTCTGGACTGTCGTCGATAAAATACCAGAATATAAGAAGGAAAGCAGTAAGCAACGCAGTGGGACGAATGCTGTCAGCCCAAAAGATACTTTGCCTAAAAGTAATGGAATTCAACAAAGAACGAGTATGGACTTAGTGAACTTGTCGCGAAGGTCGACAAACGCTTCACAAGAAAGTTCGATGGAGAAAATGTAGTATAGTTCTTTTACTTAGGCTCATTTTGACAATTATAGGTTTGGATGTGGTCGTTTATAATTATATTTGTCGTCTCATTCCTTTGTATAGGTGAGATTTGTGCTTTTCTGCGATAGAATTTTTGAGCCGTACGCACGAGATTCTGTATTTTGCTAAGCAATGAAGCCTTGAACATTTTAGAATCCAAGGATTGTAAAATAGACCCAGCTTGGACGAGCTACAAAACTATTTACTATCTTTACAGACAGCTGTGAGTAGGCAGCTTAGCTATAAACGTGAGTATTTCTGTGTGTATTCAGAAAGAATCATACGCCATGCAAAATGTTGAACGGAAATTTACGTATTAAAAATATCCAAGCTACGTCTATGTTTCTGGAAGGTTTGCACTCAATAGCGCAGATAAATGGGTCGCTTGAGATGGGTTTCTTTTTTCCCACTACTGATGGAGGCCAGGGCCCGGCACAGATCGTCTGGAGCAAAAAGCAAAGGAGATATCGTTTTTGCGGGGTTGGGGCCGAGCATCAAGGATAAGCGCCATCAAGTCAAACGCAAGCTTTTTGGACAGGTTCTCTATCGTGTATGGCGAAAAGTGCGCGAGATTTGAAAGCAAGGCTAAAATAAACAAATTGCTTGTTTACAGCGCACACAGAGTCATATGACACCAAAATTGAACTGTATACATGGGAAATTATTTGCAGAAGAACTATGTAAGAATATTCGAAACTTATTTGAAGTAATACCTTTTCCAAAATTAGTCCGTCTCCAGACGGCCACCAGACGTTCTGAGATCGTCTGGAGCATATATTTCCGTCACTTCACATAAGTTTTGGATTTCTTTAGCATGGATGGATTAAGAATCTATCCCTGAGCATAGGAACAGTTCCATATCGCTTCCTGTCCGCCGTTCTTAACGTCTTTTTTCGAAAGCCGCCTTGTATCGCGCCCCAGCGTCAACTTTCCTGCACTTTCCTCCTTTTGACTTTTCATTTTCAGTTCTAGCTTTTTTCAATATTTTGATGATATAGTCCACTCTTCTTTCTTCTTCTTATTCTTCTTTCTTCAGCTCGTAATCTATTTTGATCGTTCTGTGACCATGTAGGGCTTATGAAGCAAAATTCTATGGATTTTGTGATTTTTCTCTGAGAATTTGACCTGAAATCGCGAGATTTTCGGCTCGCAGCAGGTAAATGGTTTCGTCAAAAACCAAGTGAGTATGCGGGGATCTACCAACAATCGGGGGGGGGGGGGGCAGAGCAAGAGTCAGAAGGAACTTCGCAAAATTTTCGATAGTCAGAAGGGACTTCGTTTCCAAAAAGGCAAAAAACGGACTCATGTCGGGCCCTGACGGAGGCTCGACCAAAATCTGCTGCAAAATCTAGTAGGCCATTTGGCTGTTTGATGACTACTGGTTTCAGATAGTACACAATGATCTTACCTTTCTCGTATTTTACAGTCTGAAAAACATTCAAGGTCATAAACAAAGTAAGTGCTTCAAGATAGTCTCTTGCTTTTTAAAAAAAGGTGGGACGAGTAAGCCAAATAAGACGTGTAGAGAACTTTTGCTTTGCCGGAAAAGTACATACGTAATTTATTTGTTAATTTATTTATTGTAGAGTTCATATTCGAAATGTGAACTTTGCCATGTTCAAGAATCTAATATACGTGGATGTATTCAATAACTTATTTTTTCAGCAGGAATAGGTCTCGAAATCACAGACAATGCCCATCTTTTAAGTGTTTCTTTTCCTACATTGGAGCAGGTGGATGTGAGCAGTTTTCTGAATTTGAACACACTTTTACTTCTTCTTCAACTGACAGATAAAAAGGAAGTAATCACCCACCTTCAGGCTTTTAAGGGTTTTTCAATTCCCAGTGGTCCAAATCTCATGCTCAATATTTAGCTCCTTCTTGAAAATGTAACGATATATTTTCTCCGCTTTTTCAGTTTATTTTATGCAGAATTTTGTAATTCCAAAGCATCCATTACGACCAACTTCTCTAATAGTGTATCACAAATGATGCGAGGAGTGAAAGGCCGGGCATACTTTATGCGATTTCAATCGCGACGCAATTTGACAATGCGCCAGAAGATTTCAAATCCAACACTAGCAAATTTCACATGCATAGTTTGTATTAGGTCATTCCGAAAGTAATGTCGCTTTTTTCAAACGTATGCCACATCTCGTGCAACAAAGTTGTGTAAGAGATTCTGGTAGCATTTGATGCAGCATTTCATTCCCTTTCTAATGGTTACATAATCACTGCACAACATTTAACAACCTCTCGAAAAATTATCAAAACCTGCGACCCATGCTTTTTGAGAAGGCCAAGTTTCACAATTTTTCTAAAATTTTATGACAACCCTCAGAAGGAGTCCAAAGGATGGACAGAGCAAACCCTACAGAAAACAGCACAACTTTTTTCTACTTTCCAGAGCTCGTCACAATTTTTGTACAAATTTTTTTTATGAAAGCACCCAGGCTCGTCTTGACACAAATGCATCAAACACCAACAAGTCTTCGGATTTTGTAACTTACAGAGATGGATTATGGTTTGACAACAATTTTACAAGCCAAACGAGCATTCGCCGCTTCAGATTAGCAACTTTCGAAAATTCCGGGTACACCTTGGGGCGCTTTGGAAAATTTCAATTATGGTGATTTTATCCCGGAAAACTTGATGTCGGAAACAAAAACAACCGGTAGAAAGAGGAGGAAAAGCTGCGTCTAATGACATCCGAGTTGCTTGCCGGTTGTTGTTCTGTGAGGTTTGAGTTGATCAAATATGGAATTTGATGGCATTGAGCAGAAGCAAGCTAAGGAAAAGGAAAAATTGCTCTGTTTCCTTTAGGTTTGCTCTATCTAACAGTCATTTGCACTTTTTCGGAGAATAGATACAAAACTTTACAAAAACAGCCGAACTTGACTATAACAAGAAGCATGGGTCGCTGATTTTGGTAATTTTCGGCAGCTCATTGAATATTATGTAATGAACTTACAACGCTTAAAAAGAGGATGAAATGGTACATCAAATGCTTCTAAAATTTTTTGAAAATCTAGATTTTACGAATAGTGGCGTTCATTCGAAAAAAAGCGACATTACTTTCGGAAGGACCTAATATAACCTACGTGGATAATAAAATGCCCTATCTTCCTTACATTTCTGTCCATAACTCACTGTAAGGGGTAGAAACCCCTTCCAGTGAATTATGGACGTTGGAATATTGCCGAATCGCGTCGCTACTAAAATCGCGTGAAGTATGTTCGACCTTTAAAGAACTTTTACAGCGATTGTAATAATCGCCAAGATTTGTTTTCTTAAAACTGGGCGTTGTTACAGTCTTCACTTTCGCTGTTTGCACAATAAAATTGATAACTACTCTATTTTCCGGCTTATAAGCCGCACCTTATATAAGCCGCATCCGCCGCAGCGAACAATGGCGCGAAAGCACCTTTTGAAAACGCGTCTCATAATTTAGCAAGCTGAACACTCCATGCATTTTATGACTGCTCAGACAATCAAAGGCTCTTAGCCGGCGGCGATAAAGGGCAGTTTCACTGAGCGGGCGGCGATACTGCAAAAGTGGCAGTGAGCGGGCGACGACATTGTAGGAATGGCAGTGAGCGGGCAGCGACGGGCTACCAGCGGGCAGCTATAATCTTCCATGAGTCAGAAAATAGCTGCAGAGCGCATTCATTCCTACAAAAGCAGCCAAAAGGGGACGATGAGGCAGCGACTCCGTTAAGCTGGCAGCGACCGTGAAACGATGGGGCTGCGAATACAAGATTTCTGTCAGCGGGCCGCATCAATGCTATGAGCAGGCAGCCTTAATTCATAACGCCGTATTGTGGCTGCCAAACGGAGGCCATATCGTTGCCCGCTCGAGACATTGTTGATCGCACCAGAAAAGTTAGATGTGCAGGCAAACGAGATTGGCAGCGTGGGCTCGCGTCAATTTTTCATTTCTTGTTGCGTAATCTTTGTTTTCTTCTTTGCTTTTCTTTGTTCTATTCACTCTTTTTCAATCTTCACTTCACTATTCACTTCTTTGTTTCATCTATTCACTCATTTTACGAATGTAAACATAAAAGTGCCTTTCTCTCAACATTTTCGCCGCTGTCACATCATTCGACTACAAGCGTGCTCTCTTTGCGCTCAAAGATCTGCATCATTGCGTTTCGCGTGCGTCCATTTTCGAAATGCTTATTGATTAGAGGGCATCGCTATGCTTTGCTACTTCAATCCTGTGTTTATGATTTTTTCGAGAAAAAACTCTCAGCCTCAGCGGATTACACGCGAAAACATGACCTTTTACGCAACGAACGACCATCACGGCTCACTCCACGCCAGCGTGTTGTACGCAAAGTTCATTGAGTGAGGAAGGATTGATTTGAGGTTTAGTCTGAGTGCCACACACAGCGTAAGTTGTTTTCGTCGCACGTGTTTCTACCGATCGGCCTTTTCAAAAAGTAAAATTCTCATTTCGAAGCCAAGTGCATTCATCGAAACACAGTGCGCACCTTTTCAATGATGTACCGTCGGTTCATTTCATATGATCATGTGTGCCATTGCACACACCGTCCATCTTTGGCGTACCCATCCTGGATTCTTGGAGAACGCAACCCTTTCGTTAAGCGATTCTGATGTTTTCTCGCTGTTTTCTTTTCTTTTTAGGTACTATTTATCTCTAAATGATGTAAGCGATAGCAATTGCTCACTCTCTCGCGTTTTTGCGGTCGCAAATCCGAGATGGGGACGCCAAAGATGGACGGTGTGTGCGGGTGCACACATGATCATATGAAATGAATTGACTGTACTTGTACAGTGAGCACATAAAAGGTTTACAGTTTTACGGAAAATTGTTTGGCACGCAGTTGTTCGTCAACGCAGCTATCGTCGATTCGTTGACCGTACGGACTGCTGAAGCGCTGCGGACCACATGCGGCGCGGTTAACATGTTGCGAGAGCACGAACAATGGCGATCTTGTATTGGAGCAAGCGTTTTACCTCGCGGCGCGTGCTCCGCGGTTATGTCCAGTCCGCGCAGTCAACGAATCGACGATAGTTATTTACAGCTGTGATGTGGAACTAGTTTCTGTCTCTTTTTATCGTCAAGGCTTGATAAAGTCTCCCTACCTCCTAGAAATTAAATTAGGGCTTTTCATACTTCCACTAATTGCTGTACCATATTTGTCTAGCGTTTCTCTCTGTCTAATGTCTGTCTTTGATGTATATCTATATATTTCCAACTACTCTCTCTTTTACAGACATTTCATGATGTTTGTAATCGTAGTCAATTACAGCTTCTCTTAGACGCTGCAGTCACCGACGAAGACGCACACAATTCCAGAGGAAGTGTTGCACAACATAAGGAAAATGGGTTTGGATCAGAACTGACAGTTGCCTGAACGATACTCAGGCGCGAATGGATTGTTGATTCGCATGAGAAACCCCTGCATTGCGCGCTAACACTGGCAGTTCCTCACTCATGTTTGTGAATATATTTATCGCGGTGGAATGTGTATTGCTTTGTCGCCGCTCCCCATATGGATTCGTTTTATCAATGTTTGTACCCTCAAGGTCTATTATCAGCATATTTTCTGTTTTAAAGAACGTAAATCTATGCGTGTGTATCACTGCGTACTTGCGTACTCATCCACTTAACTGTTACTTGCCATTTCATTAGTTATAACCTTTATCCAGAGTTTACAAACGTGGCCGTATATAGTCGTAGTATACGATCTAAGCTAACCTCCAAGCTTTTGGGCTACGGAAACTTCCTATCTTTTAGGAAAGCGGGAAGCGGCAGTGAGGCGATAAGGCCACGGCGCTTTTTGTGGGTTTTCGCGGTGGCTTTGTGGCTGCCGGCTGAAAATCTTGTCTGTGTAGCTTCTTGTTATGGGCCATATCTATTTCTCCATGTGGTCATATCTCCAGATGGTTATGTTCTTCATTGTTACTTGTCATCGTTATAATGAATTAATTGAAGTTATAACGTTGTAGTCCAAGCATAACAAGAAGCTACACAGACAAGATTTTCAGCCGGCAGCCACAAAGCCACCGCGAAAACCCACCAAAAGCGCCGTGGCCTTATCGCCTCACTGCCGCTTCCCGCTGAGAACTGTAGAAGCGAGCGGGCTACAAATATGGCAATGAGCGGGAGGCTAAAGCTGGCAGCGGGCAGACTGCTATGAGGGCTTCAGCGGGAAGCGAAAGTGCCCGCGATGAGGCCACCGCGCTTTTGGTGGGTTTTCGCGGTGGCTTTGTGGCTGCCGGCTGAGAGCCTGTGATTGTCTGAGTTCTTCACTCTGAACATTCATGTCTTCATGTATTGAGGTGGAAGGTAAAAAATGGGATACTAAATTACTCTGGGTTTTTCACGTTTGAGTTGCAGTTTGCTGGCTGTTGGAATAAAAAAAAGTCCAGAATGTAATGAAAATCAAGCTATCCCATTTTTACCGTCCACTCCAATATTTTTTTACCTTTAAGAATTTAGTTGCATCATTTTTATCAAAAATACAATGTCGTCGATGCTTTCTTTTGTTCACAATGAAGCGATGTTCAAGCTGGCTTTCATTTTGATTCCTGTGGTACTACTGGTAATTCAACTTCGGTTTGTTACTTTTTGTTACTTTTAGAAAGCTACTAAAAGGCTTCTAGATGAAATAGATAATAATCGGCGCTTGAGCGGCTTTGCGCATCGAGAATCAATCCGCGCGTGATAAAAATGATCGCGGCTTATACGCCGGAAAATAGGGTATTTATTTAGAGCTTATTTATCTGCTTCTATTAAGAGTATTTTGGAAATTTGCATATACGCTGACAGAAAAAATCTTTGTTAAGGGAAGAATAATCATAAAGAACAACCCATACTTATATTCGCCCCTTTTTGTGAGGAACAAAGAAACATTGAGTAAGCTCTTTCGTGCCGATTCGGAAATCTCACTCAAGCAATTTTCATCCTATGGTAAGACCATGGTCTTTGCATTGGCATTATCAAAAACTAGTTGTCTACAGGTAATTCATGTAACTACCTTGCCGCTTCAGTTGTGTATATAAGCACTTTCCTTGCGGTATTCTTCGCCTTTGTCATGATAAGGCTATTATCGTGGATTTATACGGTACGCAGCTTTCTTCGACGACAGAGCTAGATGCATGCTAAAATAATCACTTAGGAACCGAAGTCGATGCCGAGGGCAGACAAAGTAGAGAAATTGGATGACAAAATGGATTCTAGTTGAAGACGGAAAGGAAAATTAGCTATTAGAAATAATTCATTTATTTTGTTTTGTCTATCTACTTCCAAATCTTTCGAACACAGCAAGCTAAACTGTTTACAAGCAAAATTGATATGGGTACGAAACTTAATGCAGACAGTGTGTTTCATATGAAACATGAAGTTCGTAAAAAGTTTGATGTAGGTATGGATGTCTGGGCAGATGCACTACTATTACCAAATAATGTAAGTGAAAAATTGCTATTCTATGACACGCTGGGTCAGTCACAAACTTTCTAATATACCCTAAAATCCCGCCAATAAGTCCGGCCTTATCTATTTTTTGACACAAAAAATTGATAAAAAAAATCGCCCTCCGCGCTGCCAGAAGTCTAGCAGATCTGCTGCGGTCTGATGGGAGAATTCATCTGCTAGACTTCTGGCAGCGCAGAGGGCGATTTTTTATCAATTTTTCGTGTCAAAAGATGCAGATAAGGCCGGACTTATTGGCGGGATTTTAGGGTATGACTTTTTTATTGCATAATGATAATTACATAAGGCCAAAACATATCCAAGATATCAAAGAGGGTGATATACAATGATAGATCTGCAAAAGGTGGAGGTCGAAAGCTAGTGTCTTGAACTTTTGCCATAGAAACTTCATTAGAAAGCCGGCATAGTTCTCTGTCAACAAAGAGGACGATTTCGGGGCATCAGAGAATGATCTTTATACAAACACTACGAACATTAAATAGCCATTTGCTAAGATTTCATGGTTTGTTTCTCGGAATAAGTGCACTCTCAGTTTGAAAGGAAGAAAGCTAACCCTGTTTGACCGTTCTTTGTTGTTTTTGTAAGTTCCAAATTCGGCTTGTAAATAGCATCGCTATCATACGAGGACAAGTCCATACATTTGAGATTTTTGACCTACTTGAAATAGCTCCAATAAAGTGGCAGGATTGTGATGGCAATTGATTATATGTAAGAGAAAGTGGGTAAAACGAAAACATTTGCATTGCAGTTTTCAATATGAACGGAACATCAAGGAACTTCAAAATAATGAAAAACTCAAAAAATGGTGAAAATTTCTGTTCAGGAAGCTAATGTAAGTAAAAGTGTTTAGTGCTATTGAAAGTTCTTAGACCTTATGACTGGAAGAAGTACACAGGGAGATAGAACAGTGTTTACCCTAATTACAAAACGAAGCGGCTCTAAAGCCAAAGATAAGCAAAAGCTACTAACTTTAGCTTGGTGCTGGAATTCTTCGATTTGACCCCCCAATAGTGTTAGCCGGGTCAGTACTCGGTGTTACTCAATCAGTAATTGTGGGGAGGTTTAGTTCTCTACTTACCAGCATGGTCGATTCCGAAAGCCTCCTCTCCAACCCATTTCCCACATTTAATACCCTTGCGAAGACAAAATCAGTCTACTGTTTTCCCACTAAGGATTGGTAAATCGCTGATCCACGACAACAACACTGAAGCTTTTTGAAGCATGGTGAACCTCAAGCTGCTGAGTAAATATTCTTTGAGGATTGTATAGGAACTTTATTCATGATACAGTGCTGGTTATAATTATAAAGACACTCTAAAAATTGTCGTAATTTGCGTTCTTGTTGACGAATTTGTCTGAAACTCTGCAGTATGGTGTGCATGCTAACGTATCATAACATCTTAGAACGGCTTCCAATTTTGTTTAGTTTGAATGGAGAAACTTAGAAAAATTCGAAAACCCCTGCCGAAAGGTGGACAAAATTATAAAGACACCTGCGTTTTTTTGAACACTATCACATCCTCTGACTTTGGAATTTTTTGTACAGTCACATACTAAAATATGAAACATTTGCAACATATGCGACCTGTCATCCTTTTCAAAGAAAAATGTTCACTGCATTTTTTGCTTTTAAAAGCACCAAAAGTTAATCTGCTTCAACAAACAGCTGGTATGAAAAGTTTTCAAGCTCTTGTTCATCTCAGATGATGGTTATGGAATCCACTGAGCCTTTTCGATGAATGAGTTGAGGAGCGCTTTCGTAAACTCTGCGTGATCACTGATATTGACGGACAGACTCCAACCTTAACATGGGTTTGTCACGCTTTCAAGCCACAAAACTCAGTTTCAAACAACAGAAAGTACTGTAATGTAGCCATTGTGTCGGTTGTACTACAGTAGACTTGTGTGCATATTCAGGAAAAAAATTCGAAGTTGGCATAATGGTTCAGCCGCAGTTGTCATCCACTGAATATTAAGTGGAGCACCCTGTATAATCATAGCCAACACAGATCACGAGATAGAACAGGAGAGACCGCTCAGAACTTCAAAACCTTAGCTAATCTTATTCTTTGGGTAGAATCTGACATGAAACAGAGAGGAAAATAGTGAGATCTAGGCCTTAGGCATACCTCACGCGATTCGGCCGGATCGCCACTTTCGCGCGACTTGGCGATTTGCCAGATTTCTATAAATTTATCATGCGCACTTCTCGGACGCATATTTTGGTAGCTTGTAAATTGTTGCAAACAGAGCAAGTTCCTACCAAAGCGCATTAACGACGAATTACGAAGAGTCGCTGTTGTGCCATATCGCGCAGCGACCGGGATCGCGTGAGTTATGCCTTAGGGCTTATGATTACCTTGAATCCATTGCTCGCAGACAATTTTCGTGAAAAGTATTTCAGTTCTAAATCGCTACCGCATCATTAGGGAAAATTTGAACTTTGTTTCGAAAGCTGCATCACCATGTAGGCAATGTAATAAATCAAGTTCATCACTATGGACACTGCAAACTGAGTTTTGTGGTTTAAAAGCATGACAAACCTATGTTAAGGTTGGAGTCTGTCCGTCAATATCAGCGATCACGCAGAGTTCAGCCTGCTTCCAGACTATCTGTGCCGGTCCCTAGTGATCACGCAGAGTTTACGAAAGCGCGCTTCAACTCATTCATCGAAAAGGCTCAGTGGATTCCATAACTATCATCTGAGATGAACAAGAGCTTGAAGACTTTTCAAACCAGCTGTTTGTTGAAGCAGATTGACTTTTGGTGCTTTTGAAAACAAAAATTGCAGTGAACACTTTTCTTTGAGAAGGAGGACAGGTCGCATATGTTGCAAATGCTTCATATTTTAGTATGTGACCGTACAAAAAAATTTTGAAATTAGGGGATGCGATAGTGTTCAAAAGGAACGCAGGTGTCTTTATAATTTTGTCCAGCTTTCGGGGGTTTTTCGAATTTCTCTAATTTCTCTGTTGATCTCAACAAAATTGGAAGCCGTTTTGAGGTTTTATGTTAGGTTAGCATGCACACCATAGTTGCGATAGGGGGAGTGATGGATCTTACCCCCTTCACTTTAAGGCCAAACACCGGATGACCCCCTTCACCTGGGCTGAGATTGGTATTGTGATCTGAGAATATAAAATAAAAATCGTTATTGAAAGGTTTTGCAGGCTAAATACCTCAAACAACAAGTAATATCTGCTCCAAGACGAAGGCGGTCGCCCAAATAGTTTGAAAGCATGCAAGGCGCGGCGCACGGGCAATTGTCGACCACAGGGCGCGCGCACGCTCGGTCAGCGGTCATCCACGCGGGCGTACGCGCGACCCGTGGTTGACAATTGCCCGCGCGCCACGTGCGCGTCAGCCTTGCATGCTCTCAACCCATTTGGGCGACCGCCTTCGTCATGGAGGAGATATTACACTCATAAATCTACAAAAGAAGCGTCATTTATTTATCAAAATATCTACAGAAGCACAAACTCTTTCCGAGCACTCATAAGGTCCTTAAGCGTTACAGTTCCATAAAGATTAATCAATCTTGTTTTAGTAATATAATCAACACTTCTTTGTTTCAAAGCTACAATTCTTTTGGGTGTATTGCGACGGTAAGTGAGAACACAAAACAGGTGATTCTTGAAGTACATAAAATCCCTCTTATCTCGCGGCACAGAAGACCTAGAAAAAAGTCGACGGTCTACGTCGATTCTCCACGATCTCAGCTTTCGAGTGGTATACAGCATGTTAGGGCTTCTTTGCTTTCCAGCTCTAAAAAGCACTTGCTCCGCTGACCGATAAAAGCCAATACATTGGTGGAGCTGGGTGGAGCAAGCTAATAGTAAATATCTCCACCCCATTTTTGAAAACTGGTAAGTTTTTTCGCTCAGCAAACTATACACAGTTCGAAAGCTCAGGAAAAGGGGATTCGGCCTAGACCGTCGACTTCTTTCTAGCCCCCCTCTACCGAGAGATACACCGCATTTTATCTGAAAACATGTCCATTTTCAACAGCAGATTTCTGCCAAACGAGGACCTAATCACTGCTGATTGTCTATCAGTATTAAAGAGCAAGTCTTCTTTAACAAACGTAGACCGTCGACTTTTTCGTAGCATTCATTTGGAGGGCAGAAAGTGAGGACACAAAATCAGTTGATTTTTGAAGTACATAAAATCTTTCATATCTCGCGACACAGAAGACCTAGAAAAAAGTCGATGGTCTGCGTCGATTCTTCATGATCTCAGCTTTCGAATGGTATACAGCATGTTAGGGCTTCTTTGCTTCCCGGCTAAAAAGCACTTGCTCCGGTGACCGATAAAAGCCCACACATTGTAAGAGCGAGGTGGAGCAAGAGCTAATAGTAGAAAATGTGCTGTAGATTGATATAGTTGTCAGCACTAACGGGAAGCGAGCGAACGCGTCTATTCAAGCGTGCTTATCGTTGTTATATGTTTATTTCTTTTAGTAAAAAATGCGCTTTTGATTGACAGTTGTGCCATCATTATCAGCACATACTCAAAAAACTATGGGAGACTGGTGAATTTCCACATCTTCACACAAAACCCACCCATTTCTGGAATCTATACTCTGTAAACCTAGTGCTGAAGAAGGTCACTTTCGTGAAAACGCTCTAGACTCACCTAAATGTAGAGAATGGTTGGTTTCAATGAATCAAAAACTTTAAGGCATTCAGTGGCCGTATTCATCAACGAACTCTGAGGGTTAAACTAACCCTGAAGGGTTAGTTTAATCCTGGAAAGCCACTAACCCGTATTCATGAAACAAAGGGTATGCTTAACCCTGAGGGTTAAATCTAACCTTGAGGGTAAATCTTACCCCGAAAGCGATTAACCCGTATTCATCAACGAATCCTGAGGGTTAAACTAACCCTGGAGGGTAGAACTTGCGTGATTCATCAGGATTAATTTAACCCTAGCATAGAGCAAGGTTCACTCTACCCTAACACTTCATACAAACATTTACTCGCATCTAGTAGTTTCATTGAAAATGATCAACGAGTATTGTGGTATTTAGTATTAGTTGTTGTTATAGTATTTAGTTTCAACTTCGTTTTATGTTCAAATTCGAAATACATGAAACGCTGACTTCGAGAGAAAAAGAATTCTAGCTTTGGTGACAAATGAATGCGACGAGGAAAAATGGTTGCGCATTCCACTCTGACAAGTGCCAAAACTGAAAAACCCCTTTATGATAACGCGCACTGACCCCTAAAAGAGTAGCACAAGCCCGGTATAAAACGAATTGCGCAAAAGTAGAACTTACACGGCGCAATTGTGCACACATGAAAATAAACTCAAGTTGTAAGATTGGATGCTGCACAGATACGCTAGAGATGTATTAAAGAAACTAGTGTTAGAAGCTTATTCGTTGATCATACTACTATAACAGTGAAAGAATAGAAGTATAAAGCGGCACCTAGCACGTACTTAGGCATTCTGTGATGTGAGTTTGCACAGCGCACGCGTAACTGACGCCTTAACCCTTCAGGGTAGTTTAACCCTCAACGTTCGTTGATAAATACGGCCACAGGTTCGCTGATCGATACAGGTGGATTGCGTTCCGTGGTAAACCCTACCCTATGGTTGATGAATACGGCCAATGAACCCTGAGGGTTGAACTAACCCTGGAGGGTAAGTTTAACTCTCAGGGTTCGTTGATGAATACGGCCACAGAAGAACAACATGTTATTAAATATCCTTCAATGTTTCGGAAAGGTTAGCAGTTTGAAGAAGAAACGGCAGGCAGAATATTTTACAAAATCGCAGATGTCTCGCATGTGTTCCAGTTCAGTGAGGCAGAAGGAGAATCTTACGCCGATGAAAATGGTGTCGACATTGATACAGAGTTGACAATTGAGCGAAACTCTCTATTTCGTGCATCAGAAATCCAAGCAGATTGCCTAGTTTCAATGAGGAAATGTCCAAGAAGTCCATTGCTGATCTTCAGCTTGCTGGAGATTTCAAGGCTGCTAAATTCCCGAACATGGATATGAACAAAAGGAAGGTGTTAGTACAAAGCATAGCTACTGCTCTTAGATCCCGACAGTACGAACTTAACTCTGTGCTTTATACTGCTGGAAGTATCTCGCCTTGTGACATTATGAACCCATGATACTGAGAAAAAAAAACCAACGCGCAGCATAGTATCTACTTTTTTCGGCTATTTCGCAGATGCTGTTGAAGAAGAAGTTGAACAGCTTTCTCGTCAGCTAACAAGACGTATGCCAGAGGGAGTGAAGCCAGAGTTCGATAAGGCCCAAAAAAGTATGCAACATTTCCTTCCCGTGTGGCGAAAGCATATGCGATCTGGCTCTATCCCCATTACTTACTGAAAAATCTGATGGACTTACTAGCAAAGCTAGTTCCTAGTCCGACTAGCACGGCAGAGGTGGACAGATTATCTATCTACTCTATTATCAGAACGCAACGCAGAACTCGTACAACGGTGGAGCATCTAAGCAATTACTTAAGATTTGTCAACCTTCTACTAAACATATTGTTATCTAAAAACTTCAAAAACTAGTCACCTACCTGCTGACTTCCTGGTGCTACCAGAGGGCCAGGAAAAAACGCAAAAGCGCTTAGAAGAAGAAGAACGTTTCAAATCCATTTTCGACTCAGAACGCTTTTCGACGCAATTCTACTTCTATTCCGATGATCTTTTGAAGGAAGAAGAAGATCTTTCAGGCAGTCTCTGACGCAGTCTTTCTCTGTTGTCTCTGACGTTAGCGATAGTGATATTGTTGATGATGATGTGCAGGATTTGTAAGTCGTTTCTAACTTGTACATCTTTTGGGATAAACCTTAATGCTTTCGTTTTTTGTTGACGCAATGAAATAGCGCAGATCTTCATAAAGTCAATTTTTTTGATTTATTATTTTTTTAAATTTCAAAAAAAATTTCAATTTATACCTAAATAAGGTACAAATTAAAGCTCTTCATACCACGCTTTTTTACCTTCTCTCTCTTCCTCCCCTCCCCTAGGCTCACATACCCCCTTCACCCTGGAAGGTCGGAAACAGCCGAGACCCCCTTCACCTGGGGAGAGCCCGGCTCCCCCTATCGCACCTATGATGCACACCACACAGCAAAGTTTTAAACAGATTAATCAACAAGAACGCAAATTACGACGATTCCTAGAGCGTCTTTATAATTATGGCCAGCATTGTAGAAAGGCTATTCAGAATTCGTAACCTATACCAAAAATGTGGTTTCCAGTGAGTTAAAAGTTCAACGTCTGATATGGGATGTCCTAAAGTAATAGTACTTGCGAACGTTCAGTCAGAATTGCAGGATTTACATATAATAGTATGGCGTAGTCTTATGAGATTGCTTTTCACCGTGCAACATAATAGATTTTTCAAGTTTGACGTTTCCGTTTTCCTAATTTCACATTTAGCCTTGCACAGCTTTCAACTGATGTCTGCTACCAATAAATTTGCACCGTTATCTCTAAACAGGTAGTTTCATTCAGTAAGAATTTACCTTTCAAAATTTAGAATCACCAATTTTTCAAAAAAAAAATGCACTGGCTAGTGCTTCGCCAAGCATTTAAAAGAAATTCTGTTACATTTACGCAAAAAAAATTCGCGATAGCCTTTGCTATACACAAAGCAAGCTTACGCTTAGAGTGAGCATAAATTCAAAAATCAACAAATTTTAGGGTATAATCAAACTGAGAGCAATAGCAAGGGCAGTAACTCCATAAAATAGAACAGATGAGGCCGATCGTTTAGTAGTGGCTGAACCAGGGGTAGTCCACTCTCCTTTCCTGCCCATTTCTTTGAAGATGTTAGCCAGTGCCAAAGCTGATCCTGCAACGTTATTTTTATGGCAAGTAAGCAGAACGATTTCTGTTGGAACTATAACGAACAAAAGTCAATTCATAAGCAAACGCCCACTATTGAAACGGCTTTCGAAGACTTTTTGCACGACCGTTCATCATTCTCTTACAAGTAAGAAGGAGGCCATGATACCTGTTTGTATATCCTTGCTGTGTGCTCTCAGGATAGCTTGGAATTCTGCATCTTCTGAACAATTATTCTGAATTATCATTGATCAAAGCAAACTCTAAATTCACTGCAGGCTACTCTTTTCACACTCACGTAACACAGCGTTTGGCCTTCGTGCAAAATAAAGCTGGCGGTTGTTGGAGCTCCACAGAAATACAGCACTATTTTTGCATTGGTCGTCCGTATTCCATGAGTCCCGAAGACCATTTGCAAATTGTTGTGTTCCCTAAAAGGGCCTTCTATTATTTGCCATTTGACTTGCATGTCTTTTGCTTCTTACAAGGAAAGCTTGTCATACTCTTCGAAAATATGAATTTGTGAAAACTTAAGACGTATCTGTCAGGACTCAGAAAGTCAAGTTTCCATAACTTTCATGATTTACCGCCGAATAATGTCATGTTACCCTTTGGTTCAACTGGCTTGGCGGCTTGAAGGCGAGGCTTCGTGACCTAGAAGGCTAAGTAATAATCAGAAGAGCACGCGTGCAGGAGAGACGCAGACTGGGCCGCGGGCTCGAGCGGCCTCAGTTAGCTGACAAAGCCCGCCTCTAAGCCGCCAAGCCAGTTGAATCAAAGGCTTACAAACCTGTCGAACAATAGCAAGTGTGGCATCCATGCCCTTCCTGGTACACCATTTGTTCCCACTTGATGTTCTTTCCGTCATTTGCCGCATCTCGTGGTTTAACCGTAACCGACCCGACATATCAAAAGCCTAAAAAGGATAAGAAATTTAGCAGAAAACTAATCAGGCCTTGCCAAGCGCTTCGCTATTTTGTCGGCCCTCTGTTCATTATAAAGAAAATGTGAAAGAACATGGAAGACTTCATAATATTTAGATTAGGACGAAGAACTGTTCCATTTATAGACCCTTCTTGACAGAGCATTTGCGCAGAGCTTGATCAGACCACAAGGTGGCATCCCATCATTGAGGGTTTCATTTCAAAAGGTTAATATAAAAGTGATCTAAAAATAATGGGGCACCTAGAGAATAATTACAGTGTTTTTGCAGGCAGAAGAATTGATTGGATGCCGAAGTTTAGCAAATGTTAGTACTTAACAGGACCTTCTGATTGAGATGTATAGGTCATTGTCGCATGGCGTTATTATAAGTGCTCAAAATGAAAACTCGTTACTTTGAGTAATTTCGAACTTTGAGCAGCACGCTGCAAATCAAATACCAAAATGATGTGCCGCAGTGGGTATGGGGATTGCCAGCAACTTATGATAGCCTGGCATTCCAACTATTTAACAATACTCAGATTTTTTCCAGTAGTTGCAATTCACACCATCATCAAAGAAGGACGTTTATTCCAAAGGAGTAAAAATAAGCACAAATGCAGTGGTTCACTTAGAGAGAAAACAACTTATCGATGAATAACAAGCTACCCTAGTCGGTCCAACGCTTTGCAACAGAAGATATAGCACTAATAAGCAAAGCTACCTAACTTAGCTCGGCGTTTTGGTAAAAGGTATATATATTTTAAATCAGCTTCATAAGCTGATTCCAAATATGCTGTTCGTAGCTGCCGCGCACCATTCCGAAGCGAGTTATGGACTTCCTGCGCAAAATTGACATACTACTGAACGTGGGAAGACTGCCTGTATATAAAAATTTGCAAGAGACGACTCAAATCTTTCCTCACTAAAAGGAAGCTCAACGCAAGTATATTAGCACTTAGTGATGATGCCGCGATGCCAGTGAGTCGCTATGCCAATTTTGCGCAGGAACAAGCCCATTATTCGCTTCGGATTAGTGCTTGGCAGCTAGGAATAGCATATTTGGAATCAGCATTTGAAGTTGATTCAGACTATATATGTCCTTTGCCAAAAGGCCGAGCTAAGTTACGTAACTTCCCTGTAAGTATCAATTACGTATTATTCGTCTATTGAGGTAATTTAATCGTTCACTAACGACTAGCATCTGATAGAGCTTTTTACCTCCCCTCATGCGTATGCACGTATGTATGTGTATTTACACCAATTTCTGTCATTTTAAAATTTTTTAGATTAGAACATGATTTCTTGGCTGAGGCCTTGCTCCAAATGTCACAGTTCTTATAAGATGCTACTTGCAAATGATCATTAGAGCTTAGAAAGCCCCCTCAAACGGTATATGTCACTACTTTGGGATACAGCAGCACCAATTTAAGTGGCGTACAAGAACGTTTGTACGATTTTTCCGACTCGCCGCTCGATGGATTGCGGGAGAATAGTTGCAGGATGCTGTTCTCTACTATTAATTATTATTTAACAAATGAGCCAAACATCAGTAACACTTTATCTCCGGTTTCACCTCCATGTGTTTGATTCGCGTTCAACAAGTCTTCATCTTTACTTTGAAGTGAAAATTCGAATTTTACCATTTGTCGGAAAGTAAGTGAATCTATCATCTAACAAGGGAGGTCCGATTAGTCGAAGTGGCCTTTCCAAATCAGTCATACACCACTTTGAAGAGCATCAAACGATGATTCCAAATCTGATTTTACTATCTGCCGAGCGCCTCTGCATGCCTAGTTATGAAAGTTTCTTGGTGCGGAAAATGAACGAATAATCCAGGTAAAATCAGATTTCACGGTATTTTTAGCGCTCATATAGAGCAGTTTAAGTATGAGTGTTTTGGACAGAAGGTATTGTTCACGTGGAGTGCGTTGATAATTAACATTAACATTTGAGCGCTTCTGACGAACTTTGTTCTATTTATGCATTTAATTTTTCAACTCAAAAAGCGCTCATAACTCGACGTCCTGAGGCGCTCAGCAGATAATGAAGACAGATTTGGAATCAGCGTTCGAAGGTCTTTACAGTTCTATCAATTTCATTTGAAAAGGCCACTTCGACAAAAATGACCTCCCTTGTAAGAAGAGTCAAAAAGTTTGCGCAAGTTTTTTGCTCACAACCGTCTAATTATTATTAAGGTGATCAGAAAGTACTGGGACACCTAAAAATAAATCGTTTTCTCAAACAGGAAAATCAAACGGATGCCCAAGTTTTGGGATATGTTAGTACATATCAAAATCCTGATCGAGGTCTATAGATAGGCACTGTCGTATGGCGTCGTGTTTATGATTGCTCAAAATCTAAGCTCGTCACTTCAGATAAATTCGAACTTGAAGCAGCAACGCCGCAGTAGAAGAGATTGCAAAAATGTGCCGCAATGGGTTAGGGGGCTGCCACCACTATAGCCTGGTGGTCCTAACGGTTGCAACAGAAGATATAGCAGCGAGTATTAGGTGACATATTAATTATTCTCTCATCAAGGTAATAGAATGGGCTCATCTTCAACGATAGCATCTGATAGAGCTATTTACGCCCTATCCATATGTACGCAATTTACTTCGAGAAACCTTGCTTTCAAAAATTGTGGGCCAAACACGTTTTCCAGCCTGAAAATCTGCGCCAGATGTTGCACTTTTACGGTTAATCTGCATCTTTCCTAAGGAATGATAAAGAACTTCTGCAGATTTAAGCGACCATCAGAAAGAGCTTGCAAAGCACTTTTGAATTGTGTGTCATATACCCGGGGGCCTCAAGGTACTGCAGTACAAATTCGGATGGCGTTCAAAAAAGTCTGTCTGTTTTTGCAGCACCGCTTTTGACCTTTTAACAGGTTGTTTTAAAATCAAATACGCTACCCTAAATGATTTCCTACTAGCTGAACAATCATACTGCAAAGATGTACAGCAATCCGTTATTCTGCGGCCTGGAAAAGCCACATTCGATAGAAATAAGACGCACAGAACTGAGATATTCTTAGTTGGATGCTGCACTCTATGCTCGTGAGCGACTAATACTTGCTTCAACATTTAAGGACCTTTCTCAAACAGGACCTAGTTCTTGATGGCCACAGCTCGAGGTCTTCGGTTCTATGGAACGCCGCTAGCAGGAAAAAGCATCCATGATACGAGTAACCAATTAGGGCCGCCAGTACACTTATTGCGGGTTCGCAATTTTTTCAAAGGAGTTCGACGCCGTGTTGCAAAGGGTCCTAAAACGCTGTCCTCGCACTGATAAGGCATGCTGCCACTTTCGGTTCGCGCTGAGGATTTCATGGCAGCCCGCTCGCTGCCAGTTCTGGCAAAGTTCTAGTTCTTGATGGCCACAGCTCGAGGTCTTCGGTTCTATGGAACGCCGCTAGCAGGAAAAAGCATCCATGATACGAGTAACCAATTAGGGTCGCCAGTACACATTATCGCGGGTTCGCAATTTTTTCAAAGGAGTTCGACGCCGTGTTGCAAAGGGTTTCTCAGCGGGAAGCGAAAAGTGGCGGCAATAAGACAACGGTGCTTTTGGTGGGGCCGGCTGAGAGCCTTTGATTGTCTGAGCAGTTTGGGCCGTCTCCGCGGACTGCTGGTCTTGGAACGACATGCAACAACATTGCGAAAGGACCAGTTGGCCGCGAAAGGCGGCTCAAACTGGCGGCTTTCGTTCCCCTACCCTGTATTCTTGATTTGTGCAATGCAATGAAAAGCTTACTTATCAACGCTTGCTCAAAGATGGCAAGGCCGTATTGATAGTTTCCGATCGTACACAAAAGCGATTCAAGAAACTCTAGCCCTCAGTAATTGTATTACATATATCGTTCTCAGTGACTTCGAGTTTTAGTTCACCTGCCAAAAGATTTACCGTACTGCACAGTTGCAAAGTAGTCATTGGAATTCGCGGAGCATTAGAAGAATAGAGTTTTTGTCGAAGGCAACTGCTTTCACAAACCATGGTCCGATACACTCACGCAAACGCGAAAGGCCTGGGACTTCTTCACTAAGGTCGACATTATTTTGTAAACTTGTTTTGTATAATAAAAAAATTTGACTTGGTTCGTGACTTGTTCATTTTCTAACGCAACTTCCATTCAGTGAATCCAGAGAAGTCATTATTTAGAAAGGAATTACAACTCACTTCATCAGGATCACAAATGTTACTAGAAAAAACCATTTTGCATTGTTTGTAGTTGTTCCGAGGATTGGGATAATCTTGTGGTGTCCATTGTTGAACAGTGACGACAACAAGGGTTGATAAGATGATCAGCATACAAGTCGTCAAACAGTATGTGAAATGGTTTTGTGAATATATGGGGATCTGAAATTGATGCAAGGTAGTGAGAAACATGCTATAGTATAAGAACGCATGTTGAGAAGAATCGATTTAATTAGATTTGAATTGAGTGACTCTAATCTCATATTGTGCGGTCAAAAAACAAGCTTTAGTATACGAAACTCAGAAACGATGATAAAATTGTTAGCTTTGGGGGTCTGACATCAAAGGTGACTCATTTCATTACGCTAATCGGTAAATAAGCGCTGACGCTCATAGTGTCAAAATGCTAGCAGCTTCTTTGCTAACGTTAAAGGTCTAGCTTCCAAATTTTAGTGCAAATAGTACTAATAGTACTATCGACCAAGTTTGTCTAACTGTTGATTGCGAAACATTGTAATAGTCAACTTTTATAGTTATACTCGCTTTTCAGGCACGAAAAAGGACGCACCCAGTTTTGATGAATTTGGAAGTGATATTATAATCTTGGATGACAAATGGTGGCCCAAAAAATTATCGGACATCTGAGTGCTAATTTCTTTCTCGCTATCGGGGATCTTCAAGCGCACGAGGACCAGCCGGAACGAAGCTTATATTACCAAAAGAGTCATCGTCAGCGTAGATTTACGAAAGGCAATTTCAGCAAGATCTTCACTACAGAACGACTGCCAATTCATTGAAAAAAATTCCAAAACGTCTGTATATTTGACGTAAAGTTTTTGGTTCTGCTGATCAACCATCCACACTTTTGTAGAAAAGTTTAGACCACATAATCAGGTTTTTGATAATTACTGGAATAGCCTCTTGTACAGTATAACTGTCTTAACTTTCGAATTAGAGATTACGGTGAAGTGTGAATCACATGTGGAAACGCGGTGCCAAATAAACTGATAACAAAGTTTTAGCTTTCTCAGACAATTTCTCGAGGCAGCATGCTCGTATGGGCGCAATACTCTATGAAAAGTTTCTATTGTAATCCTAGAGTAATGGGGAAGGATAGATGATCTTTTCTGAATAAACTTCGAGCATTTAGACCACATGATCAGAACTCCAGCCAGGATTACAATATGCTAGTAGCTACAAATTTGCAAAAGCTGCTCAGAGAGAGTTCTCAACTATCAAACGTTTGATGCCTTTTTGGGAAGCCTTGTAGCACCAATTAATTTAAAACGCCAAAATTTAATAATAGTCAAGCATAGTCTATAATGAATGTGATTGAATTTGAAGTTAATGAAGATTCAATTATGAATGTAGCAACAAAAGACGAGTCGCAAATTTCTTCTGCATGGCAAAGACACCTCGATGCACTGTGGTGAGTCAGTAATACGTATGTCGAATATGACAAAGCGTTTGACCTTCACAAAAATAAAACCATCAGAGTTGGGAAGGGAGGACATGCTAACATGGATCGAAGCTTGGTGTTTGCAGAGTCAGCATCTGCACTCACACCAGTCTTTCGTGTCCATCAGAGTCTAATGTTTTGTGAGATGTGTCAATAGTGACCATTTCGTTGTTCTAAACCGTTCTGCTATACAAGTCCTCCCATGATCTTGCAAAGTGCGTACCAAGGATATTTATACATTTACACATTGTTTTGTGCCTCCCCACAAACCAGACAACTAACAGACAGATGAGTTTCCTTACATTTTTGGCCGAAAAGGTTGTTTTCAAATAATATCATCTTTTTAAGAAATACAAGAGAATATCGAGATGACCAATCTTTTCATGGATAAAAGTGGCCCGTAGTAAAGCTCGATCAGTTCAGGTGAACTGAACTCAACCCATCAGTTCACCTTAGGTGAGGTGAACTGATGACCGTCCGCCTTCCCATGCTATAAGAATTGCGAGTGAACTAGTTGACCTCGTGCACATCAGTTCACGTTCAGTTGAACTGAACGTGAACTGATGTTAGACGAATGCAAATAGTGTGTAAAAGAGGAGACGCAGACAAGACTCTCGTAAGTTGCTCCTGAGTAACTTACGATACACATCAGTTAGGCTAAAAATGCAGACAAAATTGTCGCAAAACTGCACAACCGCGCCCGAAAAGGAGAGGATCGATGAACAGCTGATTTTGGCGAGGATAACAAAAAAACCTTTTTCTCTTTTTTGTAGAGTTCACTGACTTTTTTCTTTGACAAGCTGCTCAAGGCAAAAATTTTTAGATTTATTTCATTGGATTCATGCTGCAGTTATTTCAATTTTCCATAAAATTTCCTTCAAAAAAAGCGTTTTTGTTTCATCCATGCATTTCCTAGGCGAAATCCTCAATAGCGGTCACCATCGATTTTCCGATAGTGTTCGCTATCAAAGACGCCCTGCGATACAGCAAAAGCGTGGCGCTAGCCGGTGTCGAACCATGACCGCACGCGTTCAATTTCAATCACTTACCTGCTAGACCAAACCAGCTCAAAGTGGTTTTTTTTTCAAGAGCTAACATGATTATCATGTCTAGAAAGAGATCCGCATCCAGATCGGCGGCGTGGCGTTATACTACAAAGACCTCGCCGCTAAAGCTCGCCGCCATAGTTGGCACGCGCGCCGAGCTGGCTTACTGTATCCAGCACCCACTTTGCACCGGTGAGCCTGAGCCATGAGGCAATTGCGCGAGTGCAGCTTCGTTAGCTTTGTCGCCATGCGACGTTGCGCGCGATGTCGCGAATTTTACAAAAAGTCACATGATACTCAGAAAAAATTCCTCTTTCAGATTTCAACGTGCGATATCGTCCATCGCACCGCATAATATAAAAATTTTAGAAAAACTTGTTAATTTCCTATTTTTTATTTGATTCATGTCCGTTTATATTTCCAGATAAAAAAAAAGATTCGTTTGGAAACTCCCCAGTGTTTCTTCAATTTTTTTTGTTTCATGTTTGTTTTTGCCTTGGTATAGATTCTTGATTGTCACTGCAAGGTGTGACCTGTGACCTAGATTGCAAGTTGAGATTAGTAACACGGCGATGATGACCTGCGGACTTAACTTATTAGGGCAAAAGTAGGTAGCTGATGCCAGATTTTCTTTCCTTAGTTTTACTTGAAAATGAACCTGAATCAAATAAAAAACAAGAAATTAACAAGTTTTTTTTCGAAATTTTCACCTTATGCTGTGCGACGGACGATATGCACGTCAAAATCTGAAAGAAGAATTCTTTCTGAGTATTTTTATGTCACTTTTTGTAATATTCGCGACATCGCGGCGCCACGTCGCAACGCGACAAGCTGACGAGGTTGCGTCCGCGCGATTGCCACGTGGCTCAGGCTCACCGGTGCAAAGTGGGTGCGGGATACAGAAAGCCAGCTCGGCGCGAGTGTCGACTATGGCGGCGAACTTTGGCGCGAGGTCTTTGTAGTATAACGCACATCCTCCTCCAGATTAACAGTTCACTGGATGCTGGACTGAGGCGCGATGAGCTCGCCCCCGGTCCGCGTCAAGAGAGATTCACTGATGGAGGGTTTACTATGAGCCAGTGTCTATTTTTGAAGTTAATTGGTGGATTCATCCAATACTTTTGTTGATTAGTAGCGCAAGTGCTTACAAACAGTGAGAAGTAGAAAAATCATCATGTTGTTGTTGTAAATACCTCTTGCATAATTCGGATGAAATCTGATAGCTTTTCACCCGGAACCTACATTCCTAGTTTTTGCAAAATAGAAACAATCCTGTGCATTGGCATAGACTTCCCACTGGTAAGCTTCGGTAGCAAAGCATACTAACGCGGCACTTCAAAATTTGCGAACAAAGCGTTATCGGCTAGCTCCAAAATATCTGTAGAAATTTCTTGCTTGCGTTAACGGTAGTTCGTGCATCACTTGGCGGTCTTGTATGAATTGTGTATGAAATCGCAAAAACAAAAAATTTGTTTTTGATTTGAATTCACAGGCGAATCGTTTGAAAACGTTGTTTTACGAAAAGTCCTTTAGTGCCGTCTTTTTTTACAAAACATGTTACCATACCCAAAAAGCTCACAGTCTTTCAAACAACAACATCTAGCCATCCGTGTTCCCGAGAAAAAATGCAGTAGTAAGAAAAAGCCCCCCTTCTTTCACGAATTTTTTGCTTTTGCGTTGCGTTTCATATAAATTTTAAGTTCTAGCATATGACCTCCACTGGCATGTGAGAATTTTTCAGATGAGGGATTAGCGGCATTCCAGTACTAATACCAAGTTCGAAGTGTGTCGAACTTTTGTTCTTCAATGATCCTTAACTGAAAGCTATGATTAGAACTCTTGGAGCAACTTTATTCCATTTCGCGGAAACAACATAAATGTATCTACTCAATTGAATTGATTTTCATTTGACAGCAATGTTTTGGTGAGAAATCTCCTGCAAAAAAAGACAGTACAGTACTATCTTGCAAGACTTGAAAGGCATGACTAATCTAAAACCCTATAATTTTAACAGCAACAGCGATATAAGTGTGAACCTCACACAACAAAAAACGCATTAAGCGATTTTGTTTTCAAGCTCAGGGAAAGCCTGTAGCGTATGAAGAAAACTGCTCTAACAAGGGAAGTTCACTTAGTCGAAGTGGCGATTCGGAAGGGGATCTATACCGATGGATAGAGCTTAAAAAGGTGATCTCAGATATACCTTCTATATCTGCTATGAAATGTTCTGAAAAAAGTTATGAGCTTTTCTAAAGTTAAATTTTCGTGCATTTTGAGTTGCAAAATTATGATAATCGCTACACAAAAGTGTGCAAGCTCAAGCAAACCACCTTGAAAGCATTGTGAGTCTAATTCGAATTCATCCGAACGTTTCCGAGTGTTTTCCAACCATGTTCTTTATTCATAGGTCGCCATTTCCTTCCTAGATCACATTTCCATTATATCTTATATATAAAGCTGAATGTCTGTTTGTATGTATGTCTGTCTGTATGTCTGTTTGTCTGTCTGTACGTATGTTCCGAATAGAAAATTCCATTTCTGAACCGATCCGGACCAAACTCGGCACACATACACTACGGGCCCCGGCGGGTGTCATAGGCTACTTTTCGTCATCGATCGATATCGATTTTATCGATTTTTATCGATTTTTTGCTGAGTTCACCTACGGGGCTGGGAGTT